CTCCATCCTGCTCACAAATTATGCTTTTAAGCCATGCAGCATGTTAAAAGAAATTGTTCCACTTTACACAGTGAGGCCGTTAATAAAAATGGAACTAAGAGATGTGCAAGCGAGTAACAAACATTTACATGTAAAAACTTCTGAAATGAAAGTACTAAGGGGAAAACCTGAAAAACTAATAGGCGGCAAAGATGTTCGCAGAGAAAATGTAGGGGGGAGAAAAACGAAGAAAAAAAGATGCAATCTGGTAATAACCAAAATGCTCTTTCATATTTAAATGGAAGCACTGCTGCTCTGGGGAGGATGGGTGTGGCTGGCGGATTCTTCTTGTCTCCTCAGCTGTCGCGGCTTTGTGACGTCTGTGATCCCAATTGCTCGATCAAATCATACTATCTGAGAGCATGGCCACCTAAGTCCACATTGCTGCTTAATGAATACAAACTAAGCAGCTCAGGGGTCTTAGAAGCAGGCAGAAAGCACAAAATGGCCAGCTTGTTTACTTTAAAACCCAGATCCCAGGATGGATGATGCCTCTCTACCTCAGCAGCAGGTAAAGCTGCAATCTCAGTCATTCATATTTAATTCTGCAAGAGTTTCCGGGAAGACTAATGCGTTATTGATTTGAGGTCTCTTGTTACTGAAGGGGGAGGGCATGTGGGTAGAGAGCTGGATCACGGGGACTAAAAGCAAGAGAGTGAAAAGAGAGGGGAGGAAGGGGAGAAAGTGAAGGGCAACAGTTACAGCAGTTTGCTTTTCTAGGAAACACCACAATATTCAATGCAGAGCCAGTATTACTGCTCTAACAATCTAGTTTCCACTGTCTAATAAATACAAAAACTTCCACATGAAAGAACAAAAGGGGAAATTAGGGCAGAGGCAGAAAATGGGCTCCATCTTATTTACTTTTCATTAAATCGCTGCATTTACTGAGTAACTAGGGTTAAACACAACAAAGCAAGATTACCTGCGTCTGCATTATGGGATTTTATGTCCATATGTTTTGATAGTAGATAAAAAAAAATAAGCAAAAGGAAAAAAACAGAGAAGTCTAACATCCTTGTATGTTTAAGGTCTCCCCCTTGACACCAACTCAGACAGGACAAAATGAAAGATTAAGAAGCACGGCTTTATATTTGAAAGGTTCATATTAAAAACTGGTTGTAGTGAAGCTTTGCCCTCTTTAATCGAGCCTTAGAATAGGAACAGTTATCCAAACACTCATTAAAATCAATGCAAACAAAGGAATTTAAACAATAAGACTGTAGGTTTTTTTTCATGTAATTTTTTTCAATAATGAATACAAACAAATAAAAACACCTAGCGTACATAAAGAATTATCCGGTAGAATATCATACATAAATAAATGAAAAAAATGACAAGAGCGTCTACTTCAGAGACTTCCTCCCACCAGCCTGTCTACTCTAATAATAGCCCAGAGACAACGAATCCAGACAGACAGAGGGAGAGAAGGAGAGCACAGAGACAGAGGAAAAAGTGCAAGTGAAGCCATAAGGGAGACCACCAGATTGTTGCCAAGTAAAATATAAAAGGGTTGTATTAGGCCAGAATCCACTGTCAACAAATGTCCCTTTAAAAAAATACAACAAAACAACGAGGTTAATTTATTTTTGGAACCGTTCCTGCTTCACTGCTGATGCCACACAATAAAAGCTCAGAGATGCCGGGAGCCAGGAGCCTTGAATTAACCAGACCTGAGGCTGAATCATCCTTCCCATCCCCCAGATCCACTGTCATGGTGTCACTCCCTCACTCTGCTTGTCTCTCTCCCTTTCCCTTCTCCCCATGTGTGGACAAAGCCTCCACCTTTCCGCAGGGCAATGGCAACAGGCAGTCATTTTGATGTAATAATAATGAGGAACAGAGAAGGAATTCAGACATTTAGAGGTTTATCTAGCTTTTATAGTGTATTGTAAAATCCACACATTAAACATAGATTTTAAAAAGTGGTATCATGGAGAAAGAGAAATATCCTATTTGTTTCTTTCGGATGTATCTTATTAAGATTTCTTTTTTACCTGATCAACACAAACTACTTTGTGATTGCAATTGAGGATAGGAATACACTGATTTTTTTTTTTTTTTTTTTTTTTTATATTAGAAGATCTTAAATGTATGGCACACACTTGCCCCTGAAAAACTACTTGGTTGAAAAGCTTTTAATGCAAATCTTTTGGGGCATGTATCTGTGAGTGTTTATTAAATGTTTTCATTCGTTTTTTTTTTTTTACAAAACAAACTCAGTCATATTAGGTGGAGAGCATTTGAGAACATCAATTTTCTAGTTACCACAAATTCCTTACTGAATATAAGTCTGGGCTTTGATTTGGCCATTCCATCACATAAATAGCTCAGATCTTAATCCCTCCATTTCAACCCTGGCTGTGAATTTAGTGTCATTGTCCTCCAGGAAGGCAAACCTTGGTCCTACTCTCTAGGTGTCTTTCAGGATTGTCCTGTTTTTAGCTCTATCCTTCGTCTCATTAACTGTAACCTGTCGGTGTCCCTTCTAAACAAAAGGATCCCCACAGCATAAAAATGATATGCTTTTCTACAACAAGTTATTCTGATAAGATAGATGAAAATGAACAGAGATAGATTTCATTTAATAATTAGCAGACTTCAGAAAACAATAATATTACTGTAAAGAAGGCTTAATGATTATCCACACCACTCTATATAAAATTAACCATGTTATTCTACTTCCACTATAAAATTATGCATTGTTTGGTTTTATCCAACATTTAAAATCCGAGTTAAGCTAAAAAGGTCTGAATATTTTTTATTTTTCATTTTATACATTTTAAATCATTTCACAGTACATTCCACAATATACAGAAAGAGAAGTACCACTTCTTCAAGGCTCCTAATCACCACTACTGGAGGGACCCTTAACTATAAGAAAATAATCAGCAGAATAACACAAAAAGACTTTTAAACAAAACTAATGCTTGATCCATGATTCAGTTGGATACAATAGCTGCTTTAAATGCCCTCTTACCCACATGGAGGATTCAGCTGCCAGGCTACAAACAGGAGCTTTAATGAGAGGCCACAATTAAGCCCATTTATTCACATTAAGTGTGAACTGTAAGTGGGACTGCAGTCAGTTGACGGACCTGGTTGCCTTTGTGTGACAAGAGCTGCTTTCATTCTGCTAACAAAAAGGGAAAAAACACAAGCACCTAATGAGTGAATCTCTCCATCTCCTCTCCGACTGCCATGCATGCTGACAAGAACCACACACACATACATATAAGGGTGCATACATGTGCTCTTCCACGCATGGACAACACACTTGCTCTCCCTCACTAGCAAACTGACTCAAGGGCTCCAACGCATCCAAGGCTGAGTTGAGTCACTGCTTGTCAGAGAACGGTGGGGGCGGGGTTAAGACAGACTGACAGTGGGGCTCCATCTCTATCCTCTTATTAACGCTTAACGAGTGCTTTCCTCATGCAATATTCATCTTCACTAATATCATCCAAGCTCAGAGCCAAGCTTGCTACTTATGTAAGGCAATTATGTAAAATATCAGACAGAGCCCCTGTTTAGAAAGAAGCTATCTGGAAAAGAGCTGCTGGATGGTAAAATAAAAGGATGTACAGGAAACCTATGGAGGCAAGGGTCTGAACGTCCCTTTTTTTTTTTTTTTTTTTGGCCCTTATCAACTAATATGGATCCTTGGATCAATCCAGGGTAAATGGCCAGCATCAATAATGCAAACAGCTCTCTCCATCATACTTCAAATGTCTGAAGATTCTTCAAGGTCATTTAAGGAGAGCAAAGGAGAGAGATCACGCTAGCAGCACGTTTCAAACCAGCAAGGTTTGTAAAAATATAAGAACTCAGTTCTGTTACCAAAATAAAACCCAAAACATGTATTTCATTACAGAAATTGAAACTCTAAATGCATATTTTAATAAACAAAATTGTTGTAATTTATGCACATTTGCACTCCCTAACCCCCCGGGTCAAGGCCCCTGTGGGGGTCTGCACAAAAATAGGTCATTTGTCACACATGATGTCCCGGGGCAGGGGATACATTATATATGAGTCCAAACAGCATGTCTCAGCGAGCACTTACCATATAGTCAGGCACATGGAAGGGAACAGCAGGAGGTGTGCAGAGAGAAAGAGAGACAGAGGAGTAGGGAACCCCTCAGAGTAGGGTAAACCTGAAAGTAACATAAGAAGGGAAGAAAAACAAATCCCTGCTAGTGACAAAACAGGAAACAGATCATTTGCCTCAACTGGATTAGAGCTAGAATTGTGGTACATTTTTCAAGATTTAGCTGAATCGGCAGTAATTGATTCAGAAGGTCCAATTAGGTATTCCCGTTTCTGCACCTGACCCAGTGGCTAACCATCTGCCTTGCACATGAGAGGCCCAGGCATCAGCCACTCCTTGTTGTAATAATGTAGTATGGATGCAGTGCTTTGTTTCTGGACACCACTCAAACTCAATTATTGCATATTTCTGCCTCTTTTTCTGGTTGCTCCTGCTATTGAGTAGCCATCAACTTAGAATGGGAACCTCTGAATTGCTTGTATGTGACAGTTGGGTGGAGATGTTTTCTGTAGTTATAGAAAGGCCCAAATGAAGACCACTATATAAAGGAAAGAGCTGTACCAGTGCAGGACTGAGTGCAAAATGCGCTGGAGAAAGAAAGAAGAAAGTCCACTGCTTTTTGCTGCACCCATCTGTTCTGAAAGTGCAGGTGGAGTCCTTTTCACTGTGCTCTGCATGTGTGTAAAGAGAGGGGGCCTGGAAGAAAGGACGGGCAGTGAGAAGGAGGGAGTAGAAGGATGGAAGGGCTGGGGATGGAAGAGGGGAGAGAGGGGGAGGACTCTTGGTGATCTCTCCTGAAGGGGATAATGGGAGAGGAGCGCATTGCAATGGCTGCCATGTAGTACCCTCCCTGCACAATTAGCCAATCAGCAGCGCGCTCAGCAAACCAGGAGGACGCATAAAAGAAGAACATTGCAGCAGAGGCACAGAAGGAGACTGCGAGAGGAGCAAGGAATTACACACACATACACACACCAAAACAGCAAAACCAGAACACCCTCCCCTGGACACACCCTGCTGAGGATCACTGCTTCTCTTTTTTTCTGAACCATCGCCCACGCCACCACGGAGAGAAGCTTTCTCCATCATCATCAGCATCCAGAAGAAAACTCCTATTTCCTTATTTTCATCCTGTAGAGGACACCAACAATTTCGCAGGGCTGAGATCCTTTTGGCGAAGACTGTATTTTTTTTCCTTTTTTATTTTTTTTATTTTACTTTTTGCTCCTAAAAATTACATAAAGGCCGTATAATAATATAAAGGCCTAAGAAGGCGGCGAGAGACTTCCGCTTCAAGACCTGTGAAAAGAAGGACCTAGATTTCTTTCATTGTACGTCAAGAATGGTTACTGTACGTATGCCTCTATTTTTTTTTTCTATTTTAGGGATATGGTACTTGCATCATTGTATTATTATTATTTTTTTGTGTGTGATTGTGTGTGTGTGTGTAGAACCCTATTTGTTTTGGATGCGCACATGTGATGCAGCCATTGATAAATGAAAATTGTGCGCATATTCTCACGTTTAAATTGTATACATTCGGTTTAGGGCTTATGGCCACATGCCGACACAAGGAAGCCTTGGAATTATAATTTTTCGTTGGGGTTTTTTTGGGGTGGGGGAGTCCTGTAAACCATGCCGTATCATTCTGATGAGATTAACGATCGATATGGGTAGTTAACAGTCTCACGCTGTGTGATGCGCCACACCGGCTGCGCTTCAGCCTGCAGACAGGCTTCACGTTAGAGAGAAACATTATTCTGCCATTTTAGATTGCTGTGGATTTAAGATGAGCTTAAACCTTCTATATGCATGAACTAAACTATCAAGGTTAAGGATTTGGATCCGACATTGTGCTTAAAAGCAGCGATGCAGAGGAGGGGGGGCGCAATGATGCTCCGAGTTCATTTGGGGGGGTGGGAGCGGCTTTCCACAAGGATGCTGGAGACTGGTTTGTGAGACAAAACATGATGCCTAGGAGGCTGAGGGCCCTTCCAACAAGGCAAGGAGGGGGGAAGGGGGGGGGGGTGCTTTACGCATCCGTTGCTTCCCTTTGAATCAAAGTCCAAATTCCTCGGAGGTCTGGTTGCGATGTAACCGAGTAAATAGGCTGGAAATCTCCGAGGCCGTGACGGTAACACCGAGGCCGCGTTCAGACATGACTATTTTGAGGCGCATTTCTCCAAGAGCCAGGGCGCTGCGTACGCAAGATGGCCATGCCCTGCGCTGCGCTTCCTTGATGAAAGAAGATGCGCTGATGAATTGGCTTTGCTCTGTGCGCCGACTGGCTGAATTGGGCGTGTCTCTGTTGAACCGGAGCATCAAACGAGGGCCTTGAAGCCTTAAACGACCTATTCTGCTTTGCCTCTTGACGTGATCCACGGCTGAATGAGCATGGTTTATGCATGCAGACCAATTATCCTCAAAATCATTTACATACAATTAGAGAAAATAAGAATTATGTGCAAGAAATTTATACAGAGGACAAAAAAAGTGAAAACGTAGATCTTCATCGAAATAATTGCATAGCATGAGTCATACTCAATTTGAATAAAAGCTAGACAGTTAATAGATGATTTATTTGGTATACAATATGAATTAAATACAACATAAAAACACGTTTAAGACAGATGTGCTTCCTGGAATAGAAATGTAAAAGGATATTAATACACAAACTGTCTTTATATTAGGAAATAATTATATTTTCTCTTCATTGATATCAATTACTTTTAGACCTTTTTTATAGCGACCGCATCTCCTCTCCACATGGTCCGCAGTCCCCCGTGCCTGTACCGCAGTGCCAAGCAAATAAAAGCGTTGAGTCAGACAACCTTTCCAAAGCACTTACACAATTCAAGGACAAGGACAGGCTAGGCCATCACTAGAGCGTTTCTCTGATCTCATAAGTTAAAAACTGCTCATCCCATTCATCGGGTCTAGAAGGTGCAAAACACAGACTGTATTTATGTTTTCTTTCATTTTTATTTTGTAGGCGATTTTAAATGTTGTATTTTGTAGATTATGATTAAAATAAGCAATAAAGGCAGTTTTATAGGAATGAGAATTCCACTTTCTTGATCACCATTAAATGCAAAAAGTACCTGAACTTTGATCCTTTTTCGTTAAAGTCCTTCTAAAATCCTGGATATCCTGGATATTTACTGTGAAGAGGGGAAAAAATAGATTGGGCCACATAAATGCAAGAATTTTAATTTAAAAAAAAGAACATAAAAAAATAAAAATTTGTCTATAAAGGCATTTTAGATTAAGAATATTAACCTCTCTTTGCTTTTTTGACTTGGAGCTGGTAACTGTTACGATCATTGTTCACTGAGAGTCCTGCAGCCCCTGGCCTCGACACAAAGCGCCACTGTTTACATTAATATTCATAGTACTGCCATAGCCCTCTGCGAGAGGGAGAAGAGGAGGAACGGGTGGCTCTTTTGTTTGGTCTTTTCAATACGTTTATTCAGCAAATAGGCGCTCCGGTTTTTGAATGCCAGCAGAGCTCAGTCTTGGATTTAAAGCAGCTGGAGAGAGAGAAAAAAAGTAGAAACCTAGAAATCCATGATTCTTTAAATGGTTCGAAATGATTTTAAAATATTATTCCTGTGGTTCAGGATTTAAACAATTAAAATGAATAAAAACGCGGATAAAGTCGACGTTTCTTCGGTCGTATCTCGGCCATCTGTGTCTTCCTTCCAAAGAGCCTGTCCGAAAGCCACTCCCTTTTCAGCACGCTGGATAGCGCCCTGCACGCTCGAAGGGTTTGTGAGACAGATTTGTGTCCTGCAGCCTTTGACGCTGTCTGATGTCATTTTATCAAAGCGGTCCATAACACCCAGGGATCTTTGCAATGTATAAGAAATCTTTTATTTTTTTCATCTGAGTGAGCAGTCTCAGCTCATGGCTGACAAGAGCTGTGACTCCGGTCGTCCTGTTGTGCTACATCTGCCACCATGATCCTTTAAGCTGCAGAGAGTGTGGCTAATGCCCTTTGTTTGGGATAATCCTGTAATCTGTGTTATTTAGAAGGCTAATTTACACTTTATACTAGCATTCTGTTTTAGATTATGTTTTACACAGCTAAAAAAATTTATATTTAGCAAAATAGACCAATACTTTGTAGTGGTTCGATGATATAAAATGTTTGGTCTAAATTATTTAAAATCATACATGGTACTGAAATATGTTTCTTGTTTGCCTGTTTTGCTCCTTAGTGAGTTATGTTTTTGTTCATTACAAAATATTTAATGCTATAAGAAAACGTATATCTAACTCCTTAAGAAATATAATCTAAAATCACATAATCTTATTTTATTTCATGGTGTAAAGGGCAACATCTGAAATGTGTGACATGCTCCTTCCATGTACATTACACCTTTAGTGCTCTAATGCATTTGGAGCAAAGATAATTTGAATCCATCAGAGGACAGAGAACACAAGACATACATTTACATTAAGTCCTGCTCGGCTTCTTTGTTTTGTAATTCAATTGTGCAGAGTGTAGGTGGTGTGTTCGTTTGGCAATGGGAGGCAGGGCCTCTTGTTTGCGTGCAAGTCTGGCTTCATGTGTTTGGTGGTGGAGGCAGAGCTCTTGTTGCGTGCAAGTCTGGGCCCATGTGAGGGTGAAGCTAATGCGCTCCATTAAATATTAAGGGGGGACTCGCAAAACCCCTAAAATAGAAATAAAAACAACAGGCAGCGTGGGTCCAAATGATGATAACAGCTGTGATTGAGACTTAAAATAAGGAATAACTTGTTTTGCTTATTGTTATCAGAGAGCAAAAAGATGTTACAAAATTTGATATAAAAAAATCAAACAAATCGTCTTATAGCTGTCTTATAATTGTCTGTTACTTTTTTTAATTTCCAACTAAAAGATTCAAAATGTATAATTGAACTGCATGCATAGTGGCCTTTATTTAACAGTGTATGTCTTCTTATTTGGATTAAACCGGCACTAAGTCATTACAAACTCTTTGCTAGTGTTATATTCTACTTTATATTAAGTCTATCTCTTAAATGTATTCACATCGTCATGTCACAGTAAGTTATTTTGGCAAATTCCTTTTTTATTATTTGCTCCTTATGTCTGCCAGGCACAGTGGGTATATGAATTATATAACCCCACAGTGTTTGCTGGGAATGCTTGCTCTGCCTCTGAGGATTTCTAGTTGGAGAGTCAAATTTGCCCCTAAGATTTCTCTCTTTTCTACCTTTGTTTTATATGGCTTTTGTTGGCTTTTTTGAAAATATGTGTCTCTTTTATTTCTTAATAATGTCTGTTCCTTACAAAAACTAAATTATTTAGGGCTATCTTTAGCCTCACATAAAGAATGTTGCTCGTGTTTTGCACTAAGAGGTGCATTTGAGCCGTTTTATTTTTACTTATTTTAACCTTCACAATGCTATACCTGCCTGTCGTTTAGTCAAAGAACCACATTATCAACATAGGGAAGACATTTGTCTAATCTGGCTGTCTGCTGCTTACTAGCTCAGACAACTAAACAGATAAGTTAGGTTGTCTGTCAACCATTAGAAACACTGTGGTTTATGAGGGGCTGTAACCAGGACAACCTTAGTCTAGCTTAAGCTCAAAATAAGACAGATGGATGCAGAGATGAAGAAAAATTGGTTTGTTTGAAAAACATGTTCACCATAAAATCATCAACATGAAAGAAAATAAATAATAATAATAATAATAATAATAATAATAAGCAAGATTCCTCTTAAATATTTGCATTGACTTAAAGGTACAAATGGGATTCAGACAAAATAGAGGTTAAAAACAAATTAATGAAACATGGAATGATCATTCAGAAGATGTTTACACTTTTAATAAAGCCATTAAGGCATGTTATAAGCCAGGAGAAATATTGTGCACCAAGGATACAGAAATGAAAGATATCATCTCAGGAGTGCCAACAAAGTCAGGAAGCCTTTCCTTCATTATTATGTTTTAACTGAAAAAATTAAATCAAAACTAAAACAGCAAATGCTTTATTATAACATTTTAAACTTGTTTAAAATAAACCTTCAGGTGACGGACAGCAGCTGAATTTGGTTGCAAAGTACTAAACACAAATAATGACATAAATGAAATAAGAAATATGAAATTAGTAGATAAGGGTTTTTAAACAAAAGTCAGGTTTCACTTGATTTACTTAAGAGAGTAAATTTATAAAATTAAAATGTTATAACTAAGAACATTCTCTTTATGATTGTAATTTCTTATTCTTACCTTTCTACTTTTTCGATTATTTAAGTTAAACATTTCCTGAACAATACTGTTCAAGTCAACTTAATTAAACTGAGTATCAACACACACCCACACACATGTTTGCTGTGACTGTCTATGATATAATACACTATCAATATTAATCTGAAAGAGCCTGGTGCCAAGGGATTAAAACTGGAGCAAGATGTTTTTCTTTGTTGCTGTTTTCTTGACATGCTGTGTGGCATCAAATAGGTAACAAAGAGAGCATCAAAGCAATGAACATTTCTGTTCTTTCTTTAAGAAAAGTGAATAGAAAGGCCACAGATTTCATACATAGCCTATTTAAAAAATACATTCTAATTAACCGTGATATTCTTTAATAATTGGAGCACTAAATCCAGCCGACAGCTCCCTCGCTCTCATGCCAGCTTCATAGTCACCATTCTGACTATCTGTCCCTGTTTAATGATGTAATGGTGTTTGACCCTGGAAGAGAGTAGGGGGATGGGAAGAGTAAGGAAAAGGGACCATGACATCTGCAGGGCTAGAGGCAGGGAGCAAGAGAGCTGGAAGGATATAGCGGAAGGGGGAAGGGAGGATAATAAATCAGACCCTTTCTACCTCCATTTTAGCAATGCTGATTCTTGACCTGTGTGTCTGACACAGAGAGTGGGCTGCCACTGTTTGCTCTGCTGTGCCTAGCCTCTATTAGCATATATATCACTGTAAGTTAAATAGTAGATTTGAGGAATGTTTTAAGGCTTAATCTTGCTGAGTCTCTTTGTGAATAATGAATCTAATTCCACCCTCTCCCCAGCAGATAATCAGCACCATGGAAACTCAGGTGTCCAATGGTCCAAGTGGAACCAGTCTGCCCAACGGCCCAGTTATTAGCACAAACGGCTCCACAGATGACAGCAAAACCAACTTGATTGTCAACTATCTGCCTCAGAATATGACCCAGGAAGAATTCAAAAGTTTGTTTGGTAGCATTGGAGAGATCGAGTCTTGCAAGCTAGTCAGAGACAAGATAACAGGTACACAAAAAAAAAAAAATCCCTTGACTTGTTTTGAAGAAAAAAAATCTACTTCATTATTTTTTCTCTCTTTGTGTGCAGGTCAGAGTTTGGGATATGGTTTTGTAAACTATGTGGATCCAAATGACGCAGACAAGGCTATCAACACACTAAATGGTCTCAAATTGCAGACTAAAACAATCAAGGTGGGCAGAACCCTATTCTTTACAACATAATCACTTTAAATTCAGTTTGGATTCTTGTCAGCATGCCAGACAAAAAGGAAGGAAGTGGAGATTTTGTCAAGGGGCTTGGTGAAAGAGGTGGCAACGGATGTTACAGAGGGAGGAAAGGAAAAAGCAGTGAGGAGGCAGAAGGGAGTGGCACCATGAACAAAGAAAGAAGGAGAAAGAGTGAAAGGAAGGGGAGAGTAGAGGTCAGAAAGCAAGGGGCGGACAACATGGGGAGTTTTTTGTGATGGAAATGCAATTAGGCAGCATGACTGTGGCACACATGGGTCAGTGCAGGTTAGCCCATCTGCCTTCAATCTAGGCTAATTAGGGGGCTTCTTTGTCCCAAAATCAGATGACGAACAGGGTGGAGGCAAAAGTGATATTATTAACCTCTAATTTCCACCAGTCCAAAACTTGATCAAAGTGGACTCAATGCGGAGTCAAAATTCAGGGCCTCCATCAGTGAGGAGCAGGTGGTGATCCAACAGATGTTTTGACTCTTGTGTTTAAACAATGAACTATGGGTCAAATCACTGAAATAAACGTGCAGAAAATTTACCATGGATATTTTTATTTCTAAGACAGAAAACAAACAAACAGAGTGACAATACAGGTACAACCTCACATCTATTTTTGATGTAAAAACAGTGGCTGGTGTCAGTATTATTTGATTCTCTGGATATTACAGAAAGCTTCAAAGAAAAGATTGAGGTGGGGGGGTAAGGGGTGAGGGGGTGAGCAGCGATCGAGGGGTCGAGAGCAGAATGCCAAAGACAGGATTAGAGGCCATATGGACTTGAGGCACCATCTGTACTGTGGGAGCGACAGGGAGAGGGTTAATTATAGGGCAGAACAGAGCCTCTCCCCCCGCGACTCGTCCAGAACACCCTAATCACTACACAGCACAACCCTCCTGCTCACACAGTCCCTCTGTGGACACAATGGATGCTGGTCCTTTGTGCTGATTTATGAAATCAAAGCCTCCGTATTCATCCAAAAGACAACAGATTGACTGATTCATCGACTGAGATTGTTTTTAACAGTACAACATAGGGGCATAATGACTGTATGCTTTTATAAAACTCTGAAAATGCACACAGTGAATAGCATGAGTATAAGTTGTGAAGACTTTTGCAAGCCTGAAGGTGCCTCCATATTGTTTGCTCAGTTGAATCTTTTCACACCCCTGGAGAATAGAAACAAAGAAAGGAGGCAGTACAGAGAGAGAGAGCGAGAGAGAACGGACCAGCCCATCTCCAACATCACTCACGCTGCTTCACCGTCTCACACAAACACATTTCTCCTATCAAAGCGCTGGAGTGGACTATCTGTCACTCAAATGTTCATGTGTTTCCAGAAACAGGAATAAAAACTATGATCAGTCAGATTTACACAATCACATATATTCTTTTCATATTGAAAAAAAGACATTGAAAATTAGACTGAGAAGGAAAACCATGTGGGACATGAACAGATGCATCTAAAATGATGCTGCACTAATTAACTCACTGGAGAATTTGGAGAAACATATTAACTGAAGCTGATATTTTCGGTCCAAAGAAAAGAAGTCCCTCATGGTTGTTTAATAATGACTGGATTCAGAGAGAGTATTGGTTACACAGCTGTCTGATATTCTGTCTGGAATGGGCTGATGATGCCTGGAAGTCGTGCTTTAAGGCAAAATAAGAGACAACTTAGCCTTAAGAGTTGAGCAAGAATTGAGGGATTTAATGTTCAAATCTAACATTAATACTACAATTTAAAGTAATTTAGCAGTGCCTAATGTGAAAATCCATACTTCCTGAACTTTGGTTGAACTTTGTCAATTATAGTATACCGTATTTTGGAGGGATTTTGTAAGAATAGCTAACACACAGATATTTCTGAAAGTGAAAGCTTTGCATGTTATTTTCTTATTTTTTTATTTGTGTTTGAAAGTAGTTAGTATTGACTAATTTAGTAAGTATCAGTTTAACCACTGATGTTTTGTGGATGTTTGAGAGGTTTCTCAGAGAACTGTATTGATCAAGCGGCTCTATTAATAGCACTGCATCCCTAGACAGGTCAGATATAGGGATGGGGAGAGATTTGAAGCAGGGATAGGTCAACAAAAAACAACATCCCAAGGTTTGAACATCACACAAAGCATCATCCGTATTTTAAAAATGGAACAAGATAGCATGAATCAGAAAAGCAGAGGAGGCTAAATGGAATTCTGGAAAAGCTGCAAAGCAACATTAGAGGTGGGATAAAGGTCAGAACAATTATTTTTGATGGACCCAAAAAATCATGCTATATTAGAAAAGCAAGCAGACTGTTGAATTACTGATAGGAGTCAAACATTGTCCCCTGCAGCTTTCCATAAACCCATTTGTACACAAGCTGTGTAATAACATGCTGTGATGGCATGAGATCAAGATTATACTTACTGGCCAACATGCAAAATGTGATATGTGGAAAAAATACACAAAATACAGAATGAGCCAGAAGTACAATTAAATGGTTTAGATCAATTTATGTCCATCAGTAAAAACAGCCTTGTAAAAGTTAATGTATTTACCTGATCCATTTGGTTTTTGCCAGGCCTGTTTGTTGAAATTCTAATAATACCCATCAACTAATAATGTCCCATCAACAAAGACACCAAAACTCAAGGGGTGGGAATACTTCTATATGGTACTCTATAGATTATTTTACATCATAGATAATTTCATTGTTTTTAGGTATCATATGCCAGGCCAAGCTCAGCTTCCATTCGTGACGCTAACCTTTATGTGAGCGGACTCCCCAAAACAATGAGCCAGAAAGACATGGAGCAGCTGTTCTCTCAGTATGGCCGCATCATCACATCTCGCATCCTTGTGGACCAAGTCACAGGTAGAGACTTATTATATAACTCATCACCCCGTGCTGAGCAGACACTGACACCCAGGTAGTCACGCCGAGACTCTTCATTTTGTTTTCGGAGCAGGCATATCACGGGGAGTGGGTTTCATCCGGTTTGACAAGCGGAATGAAGCAGAGGAGGCCATCAAAGGACTAAACGGGCAGAAGCCTTTGGGTGCCGCTGAGCCAATCACTGTCAAGTTTGCCAACAACCCCAGTCAGAAGACAGGCCAGGCCTTACTGACTCAGCTTTACCAAACTGCTGCCCGCCGTTACACGGGACCCCTGCACCACCAGACTCAACGTTTCAGGTACTGAACCTATACCAACCCCCTCCTGAAACCCCAGCCCAACCCCTCCAATCAAGTTCTCATCTACCAGTCTATTGTTGGTAAAAAAAAAAACAAAAACAAAAAAACAATTTTATTGCAAGAAAATATTTCTAAGCTCAAGGGGCGTTTAGTGAGTCACTGTAATGTTGTTGAAAAAGATGGAAGATATTAACAGTTTCCTAATTTTTAGACGTCATCTGTACTAGAAGACGGCTTAGAGATGAGCAGCAAATACGATTTTTACTCCAACTATGCAAAAATGAAGAGATGTAAACTGTTTAAAGCAACAAAACCATTTTGATTATAGAAGCCATCACCAATCTTCTCCTTTAGGTTATTGTTACTTTATTGGAAACATGGTATTTTTCCCCTTCTCTTCCTCCTTCTCCTCCTCACACTTTTTCTCTGACTTTCTTTTAAACTGCAGTGTGATCCCTTCACTTGGAAAGGGACCAGATCCAAATAGCAGCTCAAACACAATGTAAGAAACTAGATTTTTCCAAGTACGAATAGAATAAAGTTAAATTATGGTTTGCATATTGCATACTGTAGGTCTTGAAAAAAAAATAAACAGAGATAAAGGTGTATTGATGATGGTAATGTGCTAAATGCCTAAAAGTCAAGAAATTTTTTGAGAAATCTCTTAAATTAGAGTATTAAAGGATCTCCCCTATTTTTCCTGTGTGTTTTTATATTAAAGCTAATAAACGGTATTGTAACTAACAAGAAATAATGGATTTAAGCAGGACTATATGACAAAGAATAACCTTTTTGCAAAATGATTTGAAACTGCAAAGGATGCCCTCTGCAGGCCAGCCAATGAAGACCCCAAATATTAACAACAGAAGCCCGCCACTCCCATTCCTTGTAGATCTCATAACTAACCTCTGCATCCCCTTTACTCTCCCTTTTGCGTTGCAGACTCGACAATTTACTAAACGCCAGCTACGGAGTCAAGAGGTAAATGCAAAAAGGTGTATTTTCAAAAGCATTCATGCCAAAATAAAACCTTCAAACAAAGTGCCCGGAATACCTCATGCTGCTTTAATCTCAAAAGAAGTTTTAAATGGCCGTAATTCTTAATGCCCACAGCCCATTTATCCATTCTACAGAATTAGCGCTATCTATAGTCTCCTGACAGCAGGGTATTCTGGCATGGCTTTGTTTAACCTATTTCGTTCTTTTGTTTCTTTTTTAATCGATATGAATAATTTCAATGTATTTCTTTCTGAACTAACATTGTTGGTTTTCAGTTGCTTTAATGTCCCCTTTTTTTCACCAGCATGGACATACCAGATTCCGTTTGCGTCTCTTCTGTTTGCTCCAGTTTTCCGTATGATTTGATTCCAGTTTGCTTTTCATCCCTCTCTAGGTTTCTGTGTTTTGTTCGATGCTGTGATTTCAGTTGAACATCATGATCCATGTGTTTAATCCTTTCAGAGGCTCTGGTCAGCAGAGAAAAAATAAATTCACATTGTGTGGGTGCGTTGTCTCAGGGCACGCAGTGTCAGAATGTATAAAAGCAGGTAGTTTGGAGCCACTGTGGTGCCCACACCTATTTATCTACTTACTGTACAGCAGAGAGAGGATGGAGATGGGGATCCTCAGAGGCCACAGATACATAGCCATTAGAAGATCATGTAAAGAACTGAATGCTGTGTGGAACTTCAGAATGACACCCATGGTAGTTCTCCTCCTCTCTTTCCCAGATTCTCACCCATCACCATTGACAGCATGACCAGTCTGGCCGGGGTAAACCTAACTGGTCCCACTGGAGCCGGCTGGTGCATCTTCGTCTACAACCTATCGCCTGAAGCAGACGAGAGTGTCCTTTGGCAGCTTTTTGGGCCTTTTGGCGCCGTCACCAATGTTAAAGTCATCCGTGACTTCACTACCAACAAATGCAAGGGCTTCGGCTTCGTCACGATGACCAACTATGATGAGGCCGCCATGGCTATCGCCAGCCTAAACGGCTACCGCCTGGGCGACCGCGTGCTGCAGGTTTCCTTCAAAACCAGCAAGCAGCACAAGGCCTGAAGGATAGGCCGCTAGTGCCAGCTGGTTTGACCTGCAGGGGGACATCCCCGAGCCTCCCTGTCACTCTACATGGGCCTGGACTGAGTCTCTCTGTCTTTCTCTCTCTGACATACTCTCTCTCACACAAACTCATAAACACAGACATGCAGATGCAGATAGACATCGAACCACAAAAAACCACACTGACATACCCAAGCATAGGTAAGTCAGAGTTTCAAACAAACACACTAGTGAAGTTATTTCTTTTCTCTTTACACAACTTGCTAGTCCTTCCCTGTATTTGCCTGGATTGAATTAGAAAGGGGTTCGTAGCTGGTCTTTTTCTTGTGGGGTGGGTGGGGGGACAATGGGGGAAGAGCTTTCTATTTAGGAGACAGTCTAACGAATGTGACAGAGAATGTGTATTGAGTGCTTTGATTGAATTCAGGCAAATAATGACAACAGACGAACAAAATTATCAAAAAAATAGATAAAAATATGTGCAATTTACCTAAACTCTTACCCCACCATCTCTCCCATTATCATGCTGGAGGGGATGTAGTCACTTTTTTTACACTTGGGCATTTTGAATCAGTGATTTTTTTAGATCAAAGAAAACGAAACTAAAAACAGTGTTCTCTTATATACGTCTATTAAAATATTACTATATATTCAATATTTAAGGTGGTTATAATAGCCGAGTATGTAAGCATTTTCTAGAAACTTTGACTACTGTTTCCTGACCTGCGTTAGGTGGTGCCTCGCTTCAAGGCATTTTTCTCTTATATATCAGAGCTTTTCAGCTCAGACCCAACCTGATTTAGCTAAACGGTCGATGAAAAGAGCAGTTCAAAGGCCATCACTTCTACCCACAGTCTCACCAGAAATATCACGATAGAACAGGAACGTATCACAGAAACACAGTTCAGATATAGAAAGATTTACACATATTTAGTCCTCTGAAGCTGTATTTTATTTTACTTTTTTTCTTTTTTTGCTCTTGATCTCATCCATGCGATACATTGAATACAAGCAGACCATCTGCGAACTTAGAGCAGAGCAGCAGCGCTCCCATGGTGACGCCGTTCATTAGTAATTCTCTGCTGGGCAAGAGAGTGATGAGTGTGAGGGGAAAAACTGTTTCATCATCATACAGCTGCAACGAAAAAGGAAAAATACTGGTGTTTTTACACTTTGGCTGACTTGCGAAAGAAGTTTTCTTGAATCAAAAGTCATTCTCCTTCTATGATGCCTCTCAAGCCGCCATTCGCAGTAAAGAGTAAGTGCAAACACAAAGTCATTGACAGGGAGGTTAATTTCATTACAGCTGAAAGAAAAACATAAACATGCTTGAAACAACACATCTCTTGTAATCATGCCAAGCCTGCAAAAATATAATGCACAGGCATTGTTCCTCAGCTTTGGAAAGATAAAGGCTGCTCTTCTGTAAATTAAACTGGATCCATAGTATCCTATATTAAGCAGATTAGACAACTATAAAGTAATAGAAGTCATATATGAACACATATCAATTAAGCTAAAAGAGAACCTTCTTTAGCTTTGTTCAACAAAAGAAGTGACATATAAAAAGCCATGCTATTCTTCTAAATGCGCCATTTTAGTTTTGAATTCTCAAACATGAAGATACAATCACCTTGTAAAGAGGTGTCATAGTTACGCTTTTGATCACATAAAAGCATTTACCAAGTTTCCTTAGATCAGTTTGATGCAACAACAAAAATAGCTGGAGATTAAAATATCCCTGACCCAGGAGCTTTGGGATTATTTATGGCACTCTTGATGAAACAATAAGGCCCAGCCCGTGTAGTTGAAGAGTCTGCTGCAGCCCAGATTTTTTGATGTACCATGCGGAGCGAGTGTCTTTTAATATCGAGACACAGGCGCACAACGTTGTGGTAAATAAGGTCAGCTATATTCAAGTCATTTTTTGCTTTTCTAAGTGACGCTGTGTTAGCCAAAGAGGACGGTCTCTTTGAAAAGGATTACATTAAAGATAATCTATTTTTATACATACAAAGGAACAAGACCTTGTGCTGAATTTTTACATATTCTTAAGCTTGGGGAAAAAAATTGGGACATCGCGTTGCTTCATTTGAAACCCTCTGATCTTTACAGAGAAAGAAGGAAGAAGCCCACGGTGTATGGGTGGGGGTGGATCTGGGGAGGGGACGAAGGAACACAGAAACTCAACGGTTTGAAAACAAACGAGGCAAATACAAATCTGACCCCAAGAATGGTACATTTCAACAGCCAGGGTATATAACCTGACAGACACATCTGTATTTTGGAGTGTTTAGATGCACTCAGCATTTCTTGTCTTGAAATTGTGTATAGTGTTGCTTCAACAATGGAAGTTTTTTGACCTGAAAATCCCAGACGGAGCTGAAGTGAGACTGGCTCACTGCCCAGCTCTCAAACTCCAGAAGCTGCTTGCAGATTGATAATAAAAACATAAAAAAAACTGCTGGTGATTCGTATTGAAAATCCTTACCATGGGATAGATTTGATTTTTGCCAAAGAATTGCTTTGCAAGTCAGCACTAAGAAAAATGATCTTACTAAAATACCCCCCAACGTAACTGCTGTAAAAATCTGTCTGTTGAACAAGGACCCTCGACAGTTTCAGTTAGAATTCATTTTGAGCATATATTGTAAGTTGCGCATATCGATTTCCATTTCTGAATCATAAAAACCACCATACCAAATGCTAATCTCTACATTTGCACACATATCATGCAGTATGAAAAAGGCATATATATTAAAACAAGGGATGACTCAACTCACCTTGTGACCAAGGCAAAAAAAAAAAGAAAATGCATTCGCATATTTCCCCTGACATTTAAATCACCTGTTTTATCTTTATCTTTTATAACATTGCAAATACTTTTAGCTGACATTTTTTTGATCTGACTCATAACGTTTCTCCCACGCGATCGTTGACTGATGTCTCACTCATCACAGAGAAGTCTAATCTAGCTTATTTGGTTCTTGCAAGTGATAGCACATTAAGTTTGAGCACGTAGTGAGGCCAGCGATAGACATTAAAGCAAGAAAAGAGCGGCCACATTGAACTGCAGCCATCACAAAGTCCCCAAAAAAACGACCTCCTATACCCTGTCCATAAGGACACCTGATAGGCAACATGGCGGAGAGCTTAGGACTGTGGCAGGAAACAGTACTACACTGCTTGAGCAACAACAATAATCGTTTTGAAAAGACAAAAAAACTTTCCTATGGAACAGTAAGTGCAATGTGCTTTGTTTTTATATTGACTGAGAACAAATGATATATATTTTTAAAAAAAGAAAAAGATACGTCACACTGAAAAGGTTTGCGGGATAGCAAGGAGTGACTGTTCAAGGCGAAAGCGATTAAATTGAACAGACTCGTTACCGAATCGGACTAAGAACAAGAGCTCTGATCTTTAAATTGTTCCACTATCACTTCCTCAGTCCCTATTGTGTGCTCTGTCCATGCAAGCTCAAACTGCATATTTGGCTGACTTTTAATAGAGCTTTTCTCAAAGACTTTGAAAGGAATATTGTCGAACAGAACATCAGTTTTAGCCCACGTCGATTTCAAATATAATTTTCCTGTAATTTTCTTGATTTCATTTACATATCAGGACTCACTTGTTAACTTGGTGTATTTGTGTTGTTGATGTTGCCATAGAGAACACACATGGGTCGAAGATTACGTTTTGGTTGCATTGATTGGGTACAGTTTGTTCTTTTTCTTCCATTTTATTAGTTGCAGTTTTTTACAGTGTATGCAGATTTTAGACTTAGATTTCTTTTGTTTCAATCAAACTGTGTTCAATTGTGTTTGTAAAGTCTGTGGTAGCTTTTGTTGCAACATAAAAATAATTTAAACTGAAAAAATTCAAAATAGCGCCAACAAACTTGTATTATTTGGGCGACTTTAAGCTTGTAGTTTTAACTTATTGTTAACTTAAAAACTATTTATTATGATTATTATTATTATTGCCTCGTATAAAGTATGTTTTGTGTATATTTATGGTTTATTTCATTATATTTGCAAGTTTAAAAGATTTTAAGTTTGCCAAAATTGTGGTTACACCATTTTGTTTCTTAAAAAGGGGGACAAATAGAAAAACAGCTTTAGAAGTACGATTTGGAAACGTTCTCCATAGTCAAAGAATGCACTGCTATATTTAACTAATTGAAGTGTATAAACATACATGCTGTGTGCTAGATGTTATGCCTTTACTGCCTGTGTTCTGTTTGTCTTGTTAAATGAAAATCTTTTAATTATTTAACCTAATCACAGTCTTGTTTTTTCCTGCCACTCTGTGAACCCCCGGGAGGCGAAGATGGCCCCCTTAATGGGGGGATTGGTCTGATTTGCTCAAAAGAAACTTTCCTGTTTTGATGATGGGCTGAATGTACCTAAATTAAATTGAGACTTCTGAATCTGGTAAATGTATTAGTGAGGCCATATAAATTTTAATAACAATTAGTGCTATACACTGTCCAAAACTCAGCCATTAACTCTGAGGATAATTTCACAGAGCTCGAACATGCTACAGGAAGGTTTTCTTGGGAGTCTCTAGAGTAGCACAGGGGTGAGTGGTCCTTCTGTTTCTCAACTGTATTTTGTGTCTATTTATTTAGAAGAGGGGACGCAGTAATTTAGTGATGTTTTTCTTACCTATTCCTGGAATGGTAGAACAAATCAAAAAGTAAAAACGATCAAATAGTTCTGTCGACAGCAAACGTCAGCAGAAAAAAAAACAAGAAAAAAAACTACAAAATCTCATACTTCCAAACATGACCAAATGAACAATGTCAAATTTAAACAAAGATGAAAAATAAACCTTTCAGTTTAGACTAGGATATTTATTACTGGGATTTCAGCTGAAGACGCTTGAAGACTTTTTCATGGAATTGTTTAATTATTTGTACTTTACATGCCAGAAAAAAAAAATAAAATGAAAGTTACAAATAAAAATGTTTCTGGGATTTATTTCTTTTTTATTTTCAACTTTCAGAAAAAAAAGTAAGAGTTTCATTAAATATGTTTTGTGTTTTTCTTTTTTTTGCATCACTCATGGGTAAAACTGATTTGCATTGATAACTTTTCATAATTTGATCTACTTTATTTTATTAAATCAGTTCCATTAATATAGAAAGTAAGCCCAAATCATGATGCCATCACCACTCTTTCATTGCAATTAAGTAAAGAAGGTATCTAAACCTTTTGACTCCATAAGAGGCAGTTATTCGCCCACTAATTTACTTGTTATGCAGACTTTTGGTTCAATAACACCTACGATACAGGCGTCTGATAATTTCAAGCACTTCAGAATCAAGAAATTTTAAAAACATTAAGAGGGTTAACCTGTTCTCAAAAAGTAACACCTCAAGTCTGAATCTAAAGAAATTTAAGTTCTTCTCAGGAAAAAGCAATTGACATATTTTAGGAAGAAAAAACCTAAAACGCCACGGGCATTTTGCCACCTCAAATGTGGTATCCAAACCATACCCAGGTCACAAAAGAATCCAGAAAACTTAAGTATTAACAATTAAAAAATAAGAAATGGACTGTGCAAAAATTGGAGCCATTGACTAACCTGGCAGTAGCCACACTGATATGTGCGGAACTGAGTTGAGTTCTACGTTATCAATTTGTTCCAAGACTCAAAAAACTCCAATCTTGAGATGATCCAGCTTGCAAAGCAAGATTAGCTATCAAAGAGTTTAAAGGCCCCTTACATTAGAAAAAAACTAAATGCTGATCTTGATCTTCTGTAATTTTGAAGCTTTGTATAAGCAATGTTGAAGAATGAAGATTGTTAATAAGGAACATTGGATATCTGAACTTTACTTCTGACTCTGATTCATACTATGTATTTAAGGAGAACCTCATCGGTTCCAAGAGTACTGGACAGATGTTACATTAACAGGTAGAAAAACACTCATAAGTCAAATTTTTTGCAACAACAACCTAAAACTCTTACAAGGATGTGTACCCTTGTTATAGCATCAATATAATAGAAATCTGGAGAACCTAGTCCTAAACAGCAGGTGTGCAGAAAGTTTAGGCCCATTTCTTTGCTACATAAATGGAAAAGTAAGGGCTTCACTGGTCGAGTTTGAGTAAAAAAAACATTAGTGAGATGAGATTAAAACATGTTTATTTGATAACAGTGGAATGACATTACATCTGACTTAAAACTGGTGTCAATACATCATAGAGGAGTGGAAGATGAATGCATTGACCTGCTCATTGGAATTAGCATTACTTCTACACAACAAGCAGAAACAGGAGGCGGTACAGCATGGAGACAGGAAAAATACATTTTACTGCAATGACTGGTCCCTTCAGTGTTCTGCAACAAAGAAGACACAAATCCATTAGTTAAAGTTCAAACAGAAAACAACATACTTAGTTTCTCATTTGATAGCATGTACAAAATTGAATACATCACAAGTGAAAAAATGTCCAGTATTTTGTTGTTTATAGCATAAAATAATTCACTAAGATAGCAGAAAACGCTAAATTCCTCAATAGTCATGTGACCCACTGAGGGGCTTAAGGGTGCTGTGACGTCAGTTTAGTCAGGAAGTAGTCATTTTACATATCGAGTCAATATTTATTCACCTTTGCGATGGAGTTTTTATCCTTTAACGAGGACGAAAATAAATAAATAAGTCTTTGTGGTTTTATTAATGCTCTCTGGTTTAATCACTGCTGCTAAATGTTCTTTGATCATTTGCAGAACCGGTGGAAGTTCATTATCTTTCAGAACATTTTCCAGATGGTGCTGTGCTTCAATTAGTTTAAACCACAGTCTAACCTTTTGTTTGAAGAGGGGATCACAGGATTTGAATTGGCTCTGTGGTGGCTGGGTTCGGTTCGGTTGGTAGCCTGCTGTTGCAGTGGGGCGTGAAGGCTGGCGGTCAGTGAGCCCTGTGTGCGGTGCTTGCGGTTCTGCATAGCAGGCTGTGCTGCGCTGCTGTGCCTCAACAGGGAAAACGGTCCCTCTGTAATCCAATCGCAGCGAGCGTTCCAAGCACCAAAACCTTACTGTATGAGTGGAAAACATTGCACTTCGAGTGTGGTTTTTACCCAGTTCGGGTCATTGCTCCAGGCCAGTGGGGTTCGAGCTCTAGGTCTCCACCTGCGGTAACTGACTGTTATCCATCGCGGTTCTTGTTGTTCTGGAGTCCGGACCGTAATGATATGGAAATCCGTCTGGAGCTGCGGCTATACTAAACTGTGCAACTAGCTAGGGTTCGTTGTTTTATGAAATAAAATATTTCATTAAAAAAATAAACAGCTTTATTACCATCAGGATTTATTTATTGCTATACAACAGAGAAAACAAGCCATTGCAACTTTGGTATATTAAATCCAACTGCTGCTGTGAGAGCAGGAGTGATGATAAAATAATCTGCCGTGATGTGATTGGAACATAGTTTGCTGTATCGGCTTGAACGCCACAGATTGTTTGTTTGATTTTTGTCTAATTTACTTTCCGAAAGGAAATTTGACGCAGAACCAGCTCCTTTGAATATTAAACATTCCTTTTCTCGAACCAAAGACATTCCTACAATTGGCAGCAGTACAATAGACCATTGTAATGACATTTAAATGATCCTTTCAGAGTGCAAAGTACTTGGGTGGTTCTTCGGTCGGGTGGTTCTTGACACCCGCACGAGGACGTTTGACTACACTGACGTCACAGCTGCGTTTCTTCACGTGACTGCTCTCACCGGACTCGGGCTTAGCTAGAGATGCCCAGCATACTGTAAAATTCTCTTGATTCTTATGACTTGGAGCATTTTTAGTGCGAGTTAGATCAGCCACGTAAAGAGAAGATAATCTACCATTACACAGGATAAAACCTTTCTATTTGAACTTTAAGGCAGTGTCTTTTTTTGAAAGCTCAACTTGATCCTTAGATAAACATATGATTTTCAAGAACAAACTTTAAGTCAATGATTGATTCTCAGAGACAAGGCATACCATGCATTAGGGTTATATTTCTAGTTCAATCATATTCTGCTACGAGTATTGACTTAGTGTGCCTAAAGCCTGGGATACACTGTGATATTTTCAGTCGTTGCTCGCAGCCACAACTCTAATTGTGCAAATCAATCACAGAGTTTGAAAGTTCACAGCGTGCGAAGTACGTCTCCACACTGTACGAACAGAGGCTCGGATGTGATATGACTACTTGTTAGTCCTCAAAGACAGGTCAGGGTCTTGAACAAACTCGACATGCAACACAATAAATCGAGGTAGCTGGTATTAAAAGAAATAGTTTTTGTTTCGCCCATGAGTAATGTGAAAATCTCAGAGTAAAGAGTTCTCAGTCTGGTCGTGTCACCACTTCTTCATGTGATGTACCTTGAAACTTGATTCACTCACATGACCAAAATATCAAACAGGTTTGATTGTCTTGTAACCAATGATTTCTGATCGAGATGCTAATTGCCTCTCCTTGTATATTGCACGATGCGCGACAAATGATTTGGCCAAGAGTCGGCGCGATCTCCAAAAAGGTTGCACAACAGGAAAAATCATAATCAGAAATGACCAATAATTGCGCAGTGTATGCAGTGCTTTAGATGCAAGTTTACAATAAAATATTTCTCAAAAATAGAACAATTAAACTAAATATAAAGAAACAAACAATTTTATGGTCTGCTTTTTTTGCTCGAAGTTCTACTCATTCAAATGATCTAACAACAACAAAAATATTTAAAAACAAAAAAAAGAAAACAGATAAGGACCAACATACTAACCTACCAATGAGCTCCTACAGCTCTTCGTGATCAGGGTGTCCTGAATCAATGCTTGAGGGATCCTGGCAGATAGCGGGGCTGGTGAACTCCATGAGGTATTCACAGCGACTGGGCTCTGAGGTAGATGTCACAATAGTTTCCTTTCCACATGTTAGCTTCACCTTTAAGAACACCAAGAGGATTACTTTTATTTTAGAGCATGATTAAAAATAAACAAGGGGATTGCTAAGTGCTGCCTGAGGCTTACAGTGGTGGATCTGTTGGGGCCTTGCCAACATCCTGTTCCATGTTCATACTTCATTACCGAGTAAATATTATCCTCAGGTCCTGCCCACTTCCCCCACATTCTATTTGAAGGAAGTAGAAAATACAGAATGAAACAAGCCAATAAACTAAAACAAACATGCAAAAATAAATCAGATTCATATCTTTACCCTAAACTAGTCTCTGATCCTCCAAACTTGGGTTTTTGTGACACTTTGTTAAAGGGGCAGAGCCTGTAGACATATCTTTGAGAGAAGAAAAACAAGAAAAGATAAGCAGTGACAACAATTGAATTTGAAGGATGTTTAGCTAGTTGAAGCATGAACATACTCGCTAGTGGTCAGCTCATAACACTGGCTGTAGAGGTAGGCAAACTCAGAGCTGGGTCCAAAGTCAAAAGAGATTTCCTTCTCAAGGTTCCTGTAAAAAAAAAATTCCATGTGAAGCCTTTTATTTGCTGCCCCAACATATTTCTGGAGCTCTTAAGACATCAACTATGGCTGCATCATGTTTACTAGCAAACTTAGTATTCCCTGTGGAGACATACCTGATTTGATCTTCCACTTCCCGCAGAGATTTCTCAGCCTCGTTGAATTCATCCCTGGCTTTCTGAGCAGCTGAGGAACAAAAGTTTAAACAATTACATTTCATTTGACTACACAGTAAATGTGTATTCACACTAGAAAAGCCTACTTGCTTGACCTGTATTTTTTGTTTGATCTGTATTAAATGTTACTTTTTCCAAGGGCAAAGGCAAAGCCACAGATGAAACTTGAATTTCACTGGTCAGAAATGATGAGGCAAAACAGAGCATAGTACTAGAAATTGGGGAAACTACGATACAACCTATTGGACTGCATTTAGCACCTGTTTTGCATATTTATGCTGTTCTTAAGGCTGCAAAATCAATCAGTATCAAGAGCATCTCATTTACTGTAGATTTCAATGTTTTTTTTTCTCTTATTTTTGTGATTGAGTCAGAGAATGTGTCCTTTAAGCTGATGCAGATCACCGCTTGCTGAGAGCAACAGACAGCGAAACAGGCAGGATTTTGATCCTGAGTTTAAAACTAAGGTGGCTTGCAAAGTCCAAAGAGACATGATTTCTTTATTTCAGGTTGGACCCAGGCCAGTTTTAATGCGGAATGATACCACCTAAGAATGTAGGTCTTTGTCCAGCTGTTTGGTCTGTTCAGAGTTTGCTATTCTTCATTCACATCTGAACAAAAGGTCTGAAGCAAGGGGGAAACTGATCCGTTTAAAGCAGATCAAACGTGGAAGGTGTGAATACACCCCAATATAAAACTGTAACAAAAATCAACCTACTTCAGGGTGTCATTTGAATTTCCCTCAATAGCTTTTTTTTTATGCAAGACAAATAAAAGCTAATCTACCTTTACACCACTTGTTACTCTTTTTGGTTAACTACCCTCAAGGCCTTCAAACAGAGTATTGATTAAGCTTTACACATAATTGAATTAAAATTTAATATTTACTCTGTAAAATAACACAGTAGCAGATAACAAGAAGAGTATTCTTAACTGCCTACAGCAAAGGTCTTATCTTCATTATCCTTGGGGTCAGCATCCTGCAAATTATAGACATCCCTTGTCCTCCTAAAGGCAATATTTCCTTTACCCCGTCTAAATGAAGTATTCGGGTCATCAGCAGAACTCAGTAGGAGTGGCTTGCTAAGGAACTGTTTCAGATATGTTATCTGGATGTTAAGGACCATTGATACATGTAGAAGATCAAGCAGATAAACATCTTTTTAAGAGAGTTCTTATCCCAGCAAATAACCAGTCACTTTATGACTGTTAAGGGTTAGACAAGGTTGCAAACACACACCATCAATGAGAGCCTGGGTTTCTTGGTCATAGGGCGGCATTGGGCCCTCGTCATCATCATCCTTCTTTTCATCAGTCCGCATAGTGGGAGGGGCCTGAAGCATAGCCAATAAAATTCATTTAGTGTTTGGTTAGCCAAACCTAATATTTATCCAGCTAAATAAAAAAAAAAAAAAGAGGTTTACTTTATAATCCCCATCATCCATGTCATCATCTTCATCATCTTCCTCATCATCGTTGTCCTCTTCCTCTGGGATATCCTCATCGGGATAATTTTCAGAGTCATTGTCAGACGTTGTATCCTGGGTTTCCTCTTGAGGCGTTTCCCCTGGTGGTGGGACGTCTGCATTGGACTAAAGTAGGCACAAAATCAGATGTAGAAACAGCAAAGTTTTAAAAATATCAAACAGTAAAAATTTAGAAAAATCCTTACCTCAGAAACATATTTTTCCTTAATGTTATTCCAGACAGTCTCAAACACTACTGTGTCCACTTGGTCCACTCCACCTAACAGTCCCTGCAACATTAATAATTTTAAATAACCATTAGTTTTTTTCCCCCCCAATTTTAGATCTTATAAATAATTAAGCTCTCAAAATATTGGATGACTGAAAGCTTGGTTAAGCAGAAGTGTTACAGAAGCAAAAAAACTAAGCTATACCTGAGCTTCGGCTTCAGTAAATGAACCATCAGAATCTGGGTCAAGCTCAGGATGGGACTGAAGCTCAGCCACTGAGACACTATGAAAACAAAAAATATTTAACCATCTGCTAGGCCATAGATAAAGGTATTACTTTAAACTTTGAATTTAAAACCTAGCTAATTTATAATAGGAGTGCATGTTATTCACCAACTGAAATAATGTGAAGTAAAGAGAACATTACAAAATTACTTAAACCAATATAAAGGAAAACATTAATAAATGCAGAATGGCAACTCCTTTCAGACCATATCCCTTACTGCTAAGCTTCACTGAAATTTAACATTCTGACCCCCAATGGTTTCTAATTAGCATAAGCAGTACTCACAAGCCATCTGAATCATCATCCAGTTCAAGAAAAACCTCGGCCATTCTAGCCTTGTCTTTCTCCATGCGAATGGCAGCTTTTTGCTCTGAAATAAAAAGTTCATATTTTTATGAGTCTCATTATGATAATGTTCCCCCACAATCTAGATGTTGTCAAGTAGAACAGAGAACATTACCTGAAAGTCTCAAATCAAATATGTTTATTATACACTTTGGTATTAAACCGAATTTACCTTCCCAGGCCTTCAGATGGCGCTCTTTAGCTTCTTTCTCTGGTTTCTCAGCAGTCTCCTTAACAGTTCTCAGAGCTTCCACATTTGCTTCCAGATCTTTCTTACTGTTCTGGACATCTCCAAGTTTTGACTGTGGAGCCAAAACAAGACGACCAGTTCAGACTAAATAATTCCTACCAATTGAAAAGTATATTCAAAAAATTATTTAAAATGTTTTTATATATATATATATATATATATATATATATAACGAAAACACACGTTTCAGAGCTTGAAATCTTGAATCATGCATACTCAAAGTTTAAAGCCTGTTTAACTCTCCAAACCTTTTTTTCCTCTAGACCTTGTTTGGCCTCCTGGATGAGTTGTTTTTTAAGCATAAAGCCTTCCTTTGCAATCTCTGCTATCTTCTGCAGTTCTTCTTTCTCTTTGCGACCCAGTTCCCTGAAAAAAACACGCAAGTAATTTATGACAGTCAAACAACATGTCACCCTTTTATTCTATACAGCCTCATCTCACCATAAAACATACTCACCTACAGGTGTTTTGACAGTCAGCACCACTGTTATACTCATCTGTAGTGTCGCAGCAATCTAAAGGAAACTAAGTGTTAAAAACCTACTAAATACTCAAAAGTCGTAGTTAAAAAAAGCTTTAATTCATACCACATATTCCATCATTGACACGGGAGGAAGGGATGAATCCTGGTCGGAAACCCGCATTGGTGCAGTGGAAGTTGCCATTGGGGCAAGCAGCAGTACCTGGAGGAGATGTACATGTTTATCAGAAAATTTGTAAATTAAAATCACTAGAATATAAATCTACAGGAGAGGTCCTGCACACCTGGCTCATCAGATCCATCCGGACAGTCACAATAGTCATCATTTATTCTGTCAAAGGGAATGGTGCGGGTTCCATCCAGACAAGTAAACGGTTTGTTTTCTTCATAAAACTGGCGCTCTGTTGTTTTAAGGGGAAAAACAGCAGCAAAGAACTTAAGTCTTAGAACTTAGACTTAAAAACGAACCAAAATCCAACTATTCTGCTTTGTCTCATTACAAATCAGACTGTGAGCTTACTTGACAAAGGGACACCGCGGGGACGAAGGACCTCAACTGTCATGGCTCCGCCAAATAGAGCCAGCACCAGCACAAAGTGACCAAACATTATCATTGTCCACACTGAGTATTAAGAACTCAACAGCACCTGTATAAAAATACACATATTACAAAACAGTTTAAAAAAACAACACAATTTTAGAGGTAGCTTCCAATTTGAAGCAGAAGCTAGAGCTACGTGGCTAGCATTTGAGGATAAACGTTGCTAAGCAGTAAACGGTTGAGCAAAAATGGCTATTCAACTTGAAATTAAATCCTCGAGAATAACTTTACATAAACTCAAATACCTTATCAATAGGACTCGAAGTAGCAAAGCAAAAAAATTGTTTGTTGTAACGCAGCTAATGGCTAATCATTTGTCCAGTCCGGGTGAATTACCTACTTCCGCATGGAGGAACCCCACCCCTCTTCTTCTTCTTCTCTTCTATTATGGCGGATCACAAGCAACTTTAAGGTGCATACCGCCAACCCCACCCCTCTCTGACGTTTTAACATATGATTGGATAAGAAATCCTGTTCTTGTTCTGTGATTGGCTGAAGTGAGTGAATCTCGTTGACACGTTTCAGGGCGACATTTCATTGTAGCGAAGATTCTGAAAATATTTATACTTGCATTAACAAAGAATCAATTATTTAATGTTCAAATATTCTTATGAAGTAAACAGATCATCTGTTAACATGGCAAATTAACAGTCTCCATTATCAGATCAGACTTTTGTTGGGCTGGTGGAGAAACGTAGCTGTTGTCGAAGAAAAGGCTCTGCAGCCATCTCATGCCAACTCATTTTTTTCTTCCCATGCTTATCTATTCATCTATTAAAATAGTTGAAAAGTTAAAGACACAATAACATATATATATATATATATATATATATATATATATATATATATATATATATATATATATATATATATATATATATATATATATATATATATATATATATATATACACGCATACGTATGTGTAAATAATATCAAATGAACATGGAATACAGCCGGCCAGAATGGTAATGGCAATCCAACCGGACATTGTTGTGGACAAAAAGTGGAAAGCCATTGTGATTGACATAACAATACCAAGTGACAGCAACATCAGGAAAAAGGAACATGAAAATCTAGAGAAATACCAGGGGCTAATAGAGCAACTGGAAGTTCAAGGCATCAGTGGTGCCCATGGTCAATACGGCAATCGTGGGGAGTGACCCCCAAACTTGAGGAGTGTTTACAGCAGATCCCTGGAAATAGATCAGACATCTCGGCCCTGAAAAGGTGCAGTTCTAGATACAGCAAAGATACTGCACAGAACCCTCAAGCTCCCAGGCCTCTGGTAGAGGACCTGAGATTAGAGGAAAAAAGGGAGAGAACGCCCGCGATGGAGGAGGAAGAGTTTTTTTTATATATATATATATATACATATATACATATATATATATATATATACAGGTGCTGGTCATAAAATTAGAATATCATGAAAAAGTTGATTGATTTCAGTAATTCCATTTAAAAAGTGAAACTTGTATATTATATTCATACATTACATACAAACTCATATATTTCAGATGTTTATTTTGTTTAATTTTGATGATTACAAATGACAACAAATGAAAATCTCAAATTCATCATATCAGAAAATTAGAATATTGTGAAAAGGTTCAAAATTGATGGCCCCTGGTGCCACACTCTAATCAGCTAATTAACTCAAACCACCTGCAAAAGCCTTTAAATGGTCTTTCAGTCTAGTTCTATAGGCTACACAATCATGGGGAAGACTGCTGACTTGACAGTTGTCCAAAAGACGACCATCGACACCTTGCACAAGGAGGGCAAGACACAAAAGGTCATCGCTAAAGAGGCTGGCTGTTCACAGAGCTCAGTGTCCAAGCACATTAATAGAGAGGCGAAGGGAAGGAAAAGATGTGGTCGAAAAAAGTGTACAAGCAAGAGAGATAACCGCACCCTGGAGAGGATTGTGAAACAAAACCCCTTCAAAAATGTGGGGGAGATTCACAAAGAGTGGACTGCAGCTGGAGTGAGTGCTTCAAGAACCACCACACACAGACGTATGAAAGACATGGGTTTCTGCTGTCGCATTCCTTGTGTCAAGCCACTCTTGAACCACAGACAGCGTCAGAAGCGTCTTGCCTGGGCTAAAGAGAAACAGGACTGGACTGCTGGTGAGTGGTCCAAAGTCATGTTCTCTGATGAAAGTAAATTTTGCATTTCCTTTGGAAATCAAGGTCCCAGAGTCTGGAGGAAAAGAAGAGAGGCACTTCATCCACGTTGCTTGAAGTCCAGTGTAAAGTTTCCACAGTCAGTGATGGTTTGGGGTGCCATGTCATCTGCTGGTGTTGGTCCATTGTGTTTTCTGAGGTCCAGGGTCAACGCAGCCACATACCAGGAAGTTTTAGAGCACTTCATGCTTCCTGCAGCTGACCAACTTTTTGGAGATGCAGATTTCATTTTCCAACAGGACTTGGCACCTGCACACAGTGCCAAAGCTACCAGTACCTGGTTGAAGGACCATGGTATCCCTGTTCTTAATTGGCCAGCAAACTCTCCTGACCTTAACCCCATAGAAAATCTATGGGGTATTGTGAAGAAGAAGATGCAATACACCAGACCCAACAATTCAGAAGAGCTAAAACCCACTATTAGAGCAACCTGGGCTATCATAACACCTGAGCAGTGCCACAGACTGATCGACTCCATGCCACGCCGCATTGCTGCAGTAATACAGGCCAAAGGAGGCCCAACTAAATACTGAGTGCTGTACATGCTCATACTTTTCATGTTCATACTTTTCAGTTGGCCAACATTTCTATAAATCCTTTGTTTTTATTGGTCTTCAGTAATATTCTAATTTTCTGATATGATGAATTTGAGATTTTCATTTGTTGTCATTTGTAATCATCAAAATTAAACAAAATAAACATCTGAAATATATGAGTTTGTATGTAATGTATGAATATAATATACAAGTTTCACTTTTTAAATGGAATTACTGAAATCAATCTACTTTTTCATGATATTCTAATTTTATGACCAGCACCTGTATATATATATATATATATATATATATATATATATATATATATATATATATATATATATATATATATATATATATATATATGTGTTTATCTGGCAGCTTTTCACTTGCTAGTAACAAGTTTTCTTTTTAAACTGGTAGAAAACCAAGCTAACTTTCTAATAAGTCAAACTGTATTTATCAAGACAGATTTCTATTGTAAAAGAGATGTTGGATCTCTCTTTGCATATAATCTGGAGGTTTTTTTGTTTTTGTTTTTTTTCACGTAGCAGCTCCCCCCCTGTTGTATTCCTCTACACTCAGAGAGTGGTCATCTAGTGTCACACTAGCAGCTGGCAGGTGGCAGCTGCATCTAGGGGACAACATTACACAGGCATGGACTGTAGTTTTTTTTAAAAACAGATTTTGATGGGGTCAATTTTTTTTTACTCTTATTAGTAAGGTATGGACAATGCCTATCAGCCATGGTTGTCCAAGACAGAGACAAGACCGAGTAAAAAGGCTGCTGATACAAAGACGAAACTAAGAACCTAAAGAAATACTCTCGAGACTGGTCTTGAGACCATGACCAAGTACTACAACGCTACTATCTACACTGTTATGAAAGATCTGAAAACGAAAGAAATATTATAATTTTCCCAGTGGAAAAACAGTACGTTGTTGGACAGGAAGCAAGTAAGGAGTTAGCGAACTAAGACTCAACAGTCGATCAAATTTGAACGGGAAATATTTCCATAGGGAAAAAATTTGTATTTGAAATGTAACGCCATTTACTTAAGCGTGCTAATAAGCAGTGCACAGCAAAATGAAAGGAGAGGCAAAAATCCATTAGGCTATGCTCCATACAGTTAAAACTCAGGATGCTCTGAAACTTATTCCCCAATTTCCACCATACAGTTTCATTTAAACTGTATGAAGTAAAAATTCAGGCAGTTTAAAGCTTATTTTTCTTCATACCAGCAACAGGCCCCCTTGCTTAAGAATGTAAAGAAATCTAGAACCAAATAGCTAACAAACGCTTTGCCTGTGCAAAGGAGAATGAGTATTTAACTATTTGTTTCAATATAAAAATCTTGCTTTATTTGTATTTTCACACACTTTACAGTACCGAACAGTGAAATAAAAAGAAAAATATACTGATATACTATATTATATATATATATATATATATATATATATATATATATATATATATATATATATATATATATATATATATATATATATATATATATATATATATATATATATATATATATATATATATATATATATGTTGCTTATTAAATGCATTTATTCACAAAAATGACACCTCGGCTCTGTCAGGAGGAAAAGAAAATTCATAAAAATAGTATAATAAAAAATAACTAAACACATTTTACACATTACAGCAATTTCATTTACAAATATTACAATCATTTCATGTTTTTTAATCCCCCTTTAAAAGAGCTTCCTTACCGATGACACATGAGTTAAAGCCCAGAGGATTTCACTCAAAGGGAGTCAGTCTGCGATAACATTACCTGACAGCAACACCAATGGGAACCAGATAAATAGGCTACCATGGGACGGACATTTAGGCTATCAGGCTAGATAGTGCTTAAAGTTACTAAGAAACAAAGGGGGTGTTAGTGCTAGGAATGAGCACGTCAAATAAGGACACATATTGTGACTTTTAGTTCAAATAAAAAAAAATAGAAATAATCTCATAGAATCTTTTCAGAGGATGTGTAATTTATTTTACAATCCCTCCAAAACACTGATCATCTCAACTGGTGGACAATGTGGGTTTGGGATTTTTGCCCCTATGAATACACAGATCACACATTACCTGAAGCCCACCGTTTTACTTTGAAACCTGATGAAATAAAGTGCTGGTACAAATTTATTTTGAATTTAACAATAAGTGTGCATAATTAAAAGTTATGACAGAATGTTATCCACGTGTGAGGAACTATAGTATTTAAGAATGACAAGGTGACCGGGTGGCTTGCAGTGTCTCTGTGGTTATCTGTCAATCATAATTTGGATAAAATTTTATTTTACAGTATATCATTACATTATATACAAGAGTGGTAATGATTATAGCTATATATCATCAGCACACGATTCATTTTCAAGACCATCCACCTGAATGATATAAAAATAAACTGTACACAAGCTGTTAAAAGAAAACAATTCCCCATGTTTTCTTTTCATCATAAAAAGAATGGCAGCAATCAATCAATTGAATAATTTCCTTAATAAGAAACAATTGCTACAGTATCGTGTTTGTATGGCAATTAAATATTACTGTTTTTATAGCTCATGAGAGAACAAGAAAGCCACAAAAACAAAGGAACATGTTTAAAGTAAAAGGCCAGTGCATATGGGATACATTTATTTTTATATTTAAGTAACTGTAATATTAATCCTGAATTCCCATTTTCACTACATTAAAAGTCTGCATGGTGGCCTCACAGCTAGACCAAACATGTAGGCTTCTGTTGCACCAAGACATGGCGACTTCAGATGAGCTCAGTTACTGACCTGCAGAAACTTGCCCTCACCTTCAACTTTAATTTTCATTTTACCCTGTAAGAACACAAACATCCTAACAACCTGGCACATTTAGGCTGAGCTGATCAGATATAGGACACGATTCAACGAGATGCAGAGATGCCAAAAAGCGGACGACAACATGTGCGACTACATCTAAAACCCTGCTGTGTTTTACCGTGACTGGCTCACATGAAATCATTTTAAATATCTCCAGGAAGTTATAGGATGCGCTCTTGATTTTTCTTTTTTAAAACAACACATTCTATTAGTTGAGCCAAGCAGAGCCAAAAACAAAAACAACTGGCAGCAGTGTTTCCCACTTTCCCTCCAAATTCAGAATACATAGTCTAAAACAAACACAAATAACATAAAAAATAAAAACAGGTGTGCTATAAATACATCAGGATATCTATGTTATATCTACATACGTATAAGTATGTATCCTGCATCTAACCTTAAGGCAAAAAATCATCAAACACAAAAAAGATGATTAGGGATTACCACACCTTTTCCCTGACATTCTGCCTCCCTGATTTCCTTCGATTCATCTTGCCCACCGAAGCTTTTCCTTCCTAACTTTGGTGAGAATTGTTATGTATGAAGAGAAAAAATTACCAAAAAAATGGACAGTCGTCAGACAGCAAACTAATTTTGTTCAGTTAATGAAACACTCAACATATTCAGCAAATTTTTAAATATAAAATAGGCAAAAACGTATATATGCTTCAAAGCATTACATGGCTTATTCTCTGAAGGTTTCAAAATAATAAGAATAGTAATAAAACCATTCAAATAAGAAATCAACATATAAGCTGGAAAGAGTCCAGTGGTGGTAGTGGTGGTGGTAGTGATTGCTCTGCATCTATAGTTTTAATTTGTCATATTACTAGAAGAGCAACAAAAGGAAGACTTAACAGCTGAAAATATGTCACCACAAAAACGTGTACTTGTGAGTTACACATCACAATAGCATGAACAGTAAAGAGATCTTCATCAAGAGACAATCAAAAATTGATACCACAAATCAGACTCTCCTGTTCCACAATGCATTGCTTCACCACAGCCTCAGTCAGGAAGCTGATGTTTCACAAAGGCACAGAGCCATCTTGCACCAGTAGCACTCTCTTCGTAAAGGGAAAAGTGATAGGGGGCCTCTCTGGGCCCCTTCAACGCAGCATCTTCTCTTTGCTTCCACGTCAAGCTCTTCTCTTTTCTCCAACTCTGTGGATTTATTCTTTAATCTTTATTTCCGACAGAAATGGAAAAAAAACGTCACTGAAGCTTCTCTGAGCAGAGTAGTTTCTATTGAGATTCTAACATACATGAATTACTAATACTGACTAAACACTAATTAATACACCGATAAGGAATGGCTTTTTCCAAAAAGATTCATCACTGATCAATGTTCCTTGTTTAAATGCACACATATAAACATACAGTAAAGTGTGTGTAGGTGCGTGTCTGTGCAAATCTGTGTGCATTTCCAAAAACCAACAGCGAATGAAATGCAGTTATACTGCAGGATATGCTGTATGCATGTATGCATTGTTTCACTCTACATAATTTGCTCTTGATAGTGTTTTTTTGTGTGGATATTTTTTTGTGATTTCATGGGTGTTTATTTATGTGCATTTCACTCACCAGAGTGCTACACTACCTTCCATTGCTTTCTACTAAATTCCCATTAGTCTTAAGTTCCTAGTAAATCAATCTAGAACTTATCACTCCAAATCTACAGTTGCTGTGTAATTAGCTTCTCTTTGAGCAATTCTGAATGTATTCCCTTTTTGAAAAATATATTTAAAGGTCTGTATTGTCATTGCAGTCATATTTGTTCTTTGTTTGACCATTTAAAGAATCGACAACATAACGTGTGCAAGATAGGAGAGAGATACAGGAGCAGACCTCATGTATCTTCAGCTTGAGATGAAGAATCCTCCTCTTCTTCTACAGGACTTGTGTCATAAAGTCTTTCCTTTTCTGGCTGCTCACCTAACCGAGGTTTCAGCTCTTCCTCTCCTTCCTCTTCCTCCATTGCAACCTCATCCTCTTCCTCGATTATGTCCTCATTCTTCTCTGACATAAGATCTTCCTTATCCTCGTTTTCATCATCCTTGTCCATGTCACTACAGTCTTCTGCCACGTGGTTTGAAGTCGTTTTGTCAACCTCATGTTCCTGTTCATTCTGAGAGCTCTCTTCCAGTGTGAGCGCAAACTGAAACTTATCAATGCACGTGTTTAGCTCCTTGTCCTGGCCTACAGGCGGTGGTGAAGGACTTTGTGGGATAGTGCTCTGGTACCAGTCCCTGTTGTCCTCCAGGGTGTCCAGGATCTCCTGGGCATCAGGATGAACAAGGTCTCCCCACGTCTCCCAAAGTGGATGAACTATGTAGTCGATGAAGCCCACCTGCATCGAGAGAGAAAAAGAAAGGCAGCGTATAAGACGGCGCCAACTCAAGCATACACAACCATACTCGCTTTAAAATGGCATTAAAAATGTAGGCAAGCGACTGCTGAGATCAGAGATAAAAGATCAGCCTCTGCTCTCTAGGTATCACCCCACCTGCCGCATTAACAGGAATCCAGCTGTTTGCCATGTATGCATTTGTTTCTGTCTCTTCCACAGCTCATCATTTACCTGACTTTTTTCTACAGATGCAGTGTGTTTATCACACATGGGACTGATCTCCATCCCTCTTTCCCGCTCCTTGTCTCCCTGCCTGAAGAACTCTTCCATGATTCTCTCCGTCCATTGCCGATACACATGTAGAGGCTTTGTAGGATTGCTCAAGTCAGCACAATGCACCATGTTCCTCAATACCTGCATAGAAGTCAAATATCACATACTATTATACTTCATTGGGAGAAGGTGGGGACTAAACAAGTCACATGCCTTGGACTCGAGTCAGACTATTGCTACAATAAATAAATGTATTGGATTAATATGGTATCAGTCATTTTGTTATTTATTCATTTCATTTATTATTCATTATTATTATTATTCATTATTCATTATTAGTTTATTAGGATGCTATTTTAATTATTTATTTTCTATAATTTTGAATAATTTGCATTCATTAAAGGTATAGTGGAGGATTTTCACGAGCAAATGCCAATTAAAGGCATGTGAAAGCATGCAGGAGCCCATTTCTCCTCGTGCAAGCTCTGTATAAAAGTTGCTGTTTGCATCGCTCATACAAGCTTACTAAGCAAAAGAAGATTTGCAATTTTTTCACTATGTCAGAGTTACCACCGGTGTTATGACGAGAAATACCTTTGGAGAATTACCTACCCTCTCGCACACTGATGAGAAAGCGGATTGGTAAATGAACGAAAAGGGAACTTTTAAACATATTCTTAATGTTTTCATATTTCTTATGCATGGATGCCTTAAAATTGAGAGCTTTGGTGGAATGATTGACAATTAGGAGGACCACTTATCCACTTTACCTTTAAGTATTTAATTACCTCTATGCCACTGCCTATTATGTTTTTTCTTGCACAGCACTTTGCATATTCTAGCTATTGAAATTTGCTATATAGATACACTTGCCTTGCCTTTGGCAAAGCTCATTATATTTGTCTCTTATTCCACATGATCCACATTTTTTATTGGATGTCAAATAATAAGTATTTTCTATAGGAAAAAGACGACACAGATGTCATCTTTGTCTGTTAGAAAAAGATGACATCTGTGTGTTTTTATGTTTTTGTAATACGGGATACTACTTGTTGTAGCAGCTGCAACCCAATTAGATAATATTCACTGACAATTGCAAAATAACCCACACTCAGAAAAACAATGATGAAACCCAGTCTTTCAAAACAAGACTCAATGGTAGCCCGATCCACATAGGCATAAATCTAAGTGCAACCTCATCATATGAAAATGAATGTAGGTGATGTATACTTGTTCTTCAATCAGTAAGTTTTTATGTCAACAACATAATAGCTGGATTATCCCAACTGCAAAAATTGATACCTCAAAGATCCTATTCAATTCAGTTCAGTTTATTTACATAGTGCTAATTCACAACATAACTTTCATCTCAAGGCACTTTACAGAAAACATCTCTAAGGAGAAAAAGCTGATTGCATCCAATCATTGACGGGAGGAGCACATGGTGACAGTAGATATTCACTTGCATTTTGCTGCTGAGTCCACAGCAATCACTTACATTGAGCATGCATGCAATGACAGTGGAGAGAAACAAAAAAAACTTCCCTTTTAAATGTTAAAAAAACCTCCAGCAGAAGCTCAGTGTGAGCGGCCTACTGTTGAGGCCAATTCGGGTTCAAGGAGATATAAGTGGACACTTGAAGGGAACATAGAAGCATTGATCCATAAACACTTTCTATGTTTAAAAAGAAAACAGTAATGTAAAACAGCTTTAGATCAGTCTAGCATTTGTTAAAGTCAGGAAACCTCACACTGGAAAAACGGTTTCAGCTGAATTAAGCCTTTTAAATCATCACTCTGACTGTAATTATTGGCAAGTTAATCTGGTAAAGCTATTTTTGTAACTATTTCTTGAATCATGAAGGATGACACTCATCTTTAATGTACTCTTGTCTTTCCCATCTGTAAGAGGAGCTCCTAGAATGCAGCCTCTGTGTCTCATTATATCAAAAAACAGTAAATTAGGAAGTCTGGGACTTCTAGTTTAAAGTTCTCTAACTCTGTGATGAATTTGAATAATAAAGTATGATTTTATAAAAATATCCAGGCTTGGTGTGTATGTACAATTTCTTGTTTTCAAATTCCTAAGTAATTGTTAATCTTGTTCTTTAACCCAACCTCTGAAGATAAAAATAAAAAATAAAGTACATGGCGACAACTGACAACTACCTGTATTCTGTCGGTGTAGTGGTCGAGCATCAGAACTCCAGAACTTGTCACTTTCTTGGTTTCCACCATCGTCTTAAGGTCAGCCAGCAAACTCATGTGTTTGGACATATCTGTCGCCAAAACCTGTAATAAAGGCCATCTTTAATTACTGCAGATAACCCATAAAAATGCATCTAAATGTCTTTAAAGGATAGAACAGGTGAGAAAAGTTTTCTTTGTTAGTGTTTATCATATGCTCACCATATCAATCACAAGTTTCCTCAGACTCTGTCTTTGCCTTTTGGTAAGGTTCTGGAAGATGTCACAGTTCTCTTCATGGAGTAGCTTAAAGCCCACGGCCAGGTGGTGGTTTTCCAAAACAGACTCATCGTTATACATCAGGGCCAGCTCTGAGTCTGAGGGTGTAACAAATATGGTTAACATAATATTTCCCCAGAATCAGCTCAACACTAAAGGCCAGCAGTTTCCAAATAAGATGTGTACTTATCCAACCATTTACAATAAAAATCTGGGAATCGAGGTACAAATAGCAGGAGGCTTCGATTAACATGAACTACAGCAAAGCCTGATTAAGTGCAAAACTTTGTCTTGGTGTATTGCTTACTGGTTTACCATGATCTATAATATCAATCATAAATGGTAAAAAAAAAATAATGTCTACCACTGTTTACATATTCAATAACTTTTTTAATATAATTCTGACTCACTTGTGTTAATGAGAAATTGGTTGGACACTCCTGGATGGTCTACATCATGAATGGCAGCAGCAAACAAAGCTGCTAATATCTCTAAGTCTGTAAATACAGCCTGTTGGGGAGAAAAGCGAGAAACAACAATGGAGGTTTGCTCAGTTTTCAATATTTGTAATGGTATCTTGTGCTCTGATAGGATATACGTTCAAAGACAAATCCTCACATCTAGAGCTGGTGTGGATAGCAGTACATGGGTGGACTGGGTGACATCAGCAGCGTGAAGGCTGTTGTGGTAGGCGACATTGGCATGATAGTGGTCCTCCAGGGTCATCACATATGTGACAAAAGTATCCACAGGGATCCGAAAGGTCTTTAGTAGATCTCTTTCCTGCAAGAAGAAAAAAAACATATTTAGAAAAGATTGTCAAAGCTTATTTTTTAACAATCTTAATGCAAATGAGACGAATAACAAAACGTTTATTGTTTTATTTCTAAATGAAAATAATTTAAAGAGGAATTCACACATCCTAAAACCTTTCCAAATTTGCTTTACTACAACCACAAATGTAAACTCATGCTATTAGGATGTACTGTATTTGGTAGACTAACACAAAGTAGTCTATGAATGTAGTAAATAAATGTATAAATAGGTTTTGATTCCTATTACAAAAACACAGATTTATATACAGAGCCCCCTGAGTTAGTACTATGGAATCACCTTTTTCTGGTTTGACATTTCTGAGTTTCTGTGGTATCGCTTTGGTAGCTTTGCTTATCTAGAAACTGAACACTTTGCATATTTGTGTTTCCAAAACAGCCCAAGCTCTGTTAGAATGGGTCAAATGTGAAAATACACCCGCTGGTGCTGGAGCAGATTCTCAGTTAAACTTAGGTTTGAAATTTGTCCTGCTAATGTAAAGCATCCCCACACCATGATGCTACTTCAGCTATGTTTCATAGTGATTATGTTGTGTTCAGGGCGGTGTGGTCGTTTTCGTTCTCTGTAAAAGATTACGTTTACAGAAAAAAAAGCAAAAAGTAAAAATGTATTTGTCCCGATCACAGCCCCCTCTCGTTGGCTTGCTGTGTTCCCTTGTAATTATGGCTTCTACTCAAAGTTTCTCAACTTAGAAATACCTCTTGGCACTCTTCCACAAAATATACACTGTTCCAGTGTATGACTAACAGTTTTGTTTTGACTGGTACCAAAATCTGCCTTTTGACCTGAAGATCCCAGCATTTTAATGGCCTCTTGGCAACTTCTTTGAATAATGCTGCCCTTGCATGGCCAATCAGTCTAGTTGGGCAGTCAAGACTTGATGGTTTGCTGTACTTTTTTCATTTTTAAATGAGGGACTAAATATTGCTCCCTAACATCCGTTTCTTTCTTTGACCATTGGTCCTCTAGGATGGAGATGATTTTACAGAACAACTAAATCTATTCACACACTTCATTAGTTATTTGTTTTAAGGCAACTGGTTGATATTTCAGCATTAAACACAACATGAAGTTTGTCTTTTTAAGATAAAATATGATAATTATTGCTTTTGTATATCGGGGTAGGTTCCCAAGATAAGTTTATACAGTATATCGGTGTAGGTTCCCAAGATAAGTTTCTTATATACCACTTTATTTATTAGCCTTGCCTAAAGTTATTATTTGGTTTATGCTCCTAAATCTTAATCCAACAGGAAATGTAAGCAAGAATACGCAATCAAATATACCCTGTAGTCAAATGTTGCATGCCTATGCAAATATACCAGAGTATGCCTTATATTTTGCTGACTCATTTAATTTTCAGGTTTGTTTGATGACATTATTCTCACCTGGAAGATTGAAAACATGATGCAGCTTAGGGGTCGATTATTTGAGAACTCTGCCACTTGAAAGATATTAAGGCCCCACTTGTTCAAGTCGTCCAGTTCCTAAGGAAACAACAGACAACTTTAATAATTATATTAACATCAGTTATTCAACTTGCTTATCCGAGTTAAAGCCAAATCTAAGTCCAGTTATATGTTGCTTTTTTTCTTGAATACAATACATTAAAAAATAACTCAATAAGACTTTCCAAAAAAGTTAGAAAAAACAGTCCACTGGACTTTATTTCCAAGTTTGAAGACGTTTTGCTTTCCATTCAGGAAGTTTTTCAATTCAAAATTTTGAATAACAAACAGACCTTGTGTTTAATATTCAGAAAGTTTAGAAATGTGTTTGCTGTAAAATTGGTTCCTGTATTTTTTTTGCTATCTCCAGTATCTGTTATCTGTTGTGCTGTTAGTTTCTTCACCCTGGCTAAAGCTTCCTCGTGCTCTGTCTTCACGCCAAACCGAGGCAAGGTGGAGTTGGAAAGGCTGGAACTATGCGTGAGTTTCTTCACACCGCTGATGTGACACATGGGCTTCTCTCGTTCCCTCTGAGTCGGAGATGGAATTTCCACTTCGTTTTGCTTATCTGAAAAGATCACAAGACAAAGGTCAGTCTGCTGACCTCAGCCTTATCAAGGTTAATAAAAGGAAAAAGAAACAGTCATTATTGTTGTACCTAGAAAGGTAGTGGAGATGTATTCTGATACTTGGTTTCCTGAGCGACTCATCTCTGACAAATGGGACAGCTCCCTGTTCAACATCCTCTTGAACTGAGGGGAAAACAGAAATAAGTAAGTTTATAGATATAGTAAAAGCTTTTAGTGATCAAGATGAATCCACAATTTAATACTGTTTCTTTAGATTCCATCTACAGAAACACACACAAAAAGGCTTTTATACAATTTAATTTATCCCAATGATGTATTATGGAGTGAGAAAATCCATATCAAATCATCCGTTCTCCTTTCTCTTAGTTGAGAACAGCCTGTTAAAAAGGGTCTGGCTGGAGTGACGTGTTGCAGCTAAATGCCGGTTTTATACATATTGTTCTCTGTATATCTGCAGTGTCAGAAACAGTCAGCAAGTCCCAGACACAGATGCAAGCATTGGATTCATAATCCACACGAAGAAGGTAACCTTCCTGAATGTTCAAGATTTTACTTAATTGTTCATTTTTGTACAAACACTATGCCCAACCCTTGGTTTTATGGCTCTGGATTAAACGAGTCATGAGAGGGCACGACAAAACCCTCAGTCTGCGTCCTACTGACTGATCTTTCACACATAACAATCTCCATGGCAACCAGAGCAGTTGCCTTAGCAACTGCCTCCTCACAGTCAGTCCTTCAGCTTGATGAGAGAGCAGTGGCTGTTTGGGTGACAATCTGAGGGAGTCGGCAGGTGTCTCTGACCTTTACCAAGGTCAGAATTCCCTTCTCCTCCTCTTTTTCTGCTCGAATCTCTCTGCTGTCTACATAAACTCCTCCTTTGCTTCTTAGAAATCCAAAACTTTGTTTCTGGCCACCATTCTCTAAACCTTTTCTCTGTTCCAGGATCTGCTTTGCCTTGTTGGATTTGCCACGTGTTTCAGGCTGCACCCCTTTTCTATTTTTTCCCTTCTTCCTCACATTTATAATGTATCTTCTATACACTCTCAGCTTTTTCACAAGCATATGGGTAACATAACAACAAACCCTGCAAGCTGTAATGAAAAATAATTTCTTAGCCTCCTTGAGCGTCGTAGCCCACCGGCCCACTTAGGGAGCAGGCTAAGCCCTGGCCTCCCATCTTTGTACACACCCTGTTAGTCTACCGTCCGTTCCTTCGCTAATGCTGTAATGCTGAGTCATAATTGTCAGCCGACACTTCTACCGTGCCAGTCCGAGCGCCAGGACAAACAACACTTCCTCTGACACCAACTAAAGTGGCAAATATGCAGATTGTGTACAGAAATGGCTATGGGCAGACACACATGTAAAGCTGAATATGTAAAGGGTAACCCTCTGTAATAGTCATAACATGTGTGACTCTGAACTGAGACCTGTTAAGTGTACTTTAGATAAAAGACAGAATAGTAAAAGGAAGTTCTTCTAAACTCATTCACTGACACATCAAAGGCTATAGAGATTCTGTAAGTAGCTCTATGACAGGATACTACACCACATTCAAAACCGAAATAATCAAAGCGTGGACTTTCTTCAACTTTTAGGCAAAATTCTTGAGACAAGATAAAGATTTATTTTAATGTCTGAGCTTGAGTTTTAAATTCTCTTTCCTAAGAGGACATTGCTACCAAGATGCACAGACATCAGCTATATAAAGACCCTGAAAAAGTTATTGCACTAAGCAGATACCTGTGTGCACTATATACAGGAACGTAGTCACAAATATTTATACTGAAGTTTCATTAAAAATCACTAACAGACTTTAAAGGTTCTTCAAATAAATTAGGTATAAAAAAAAAAAACATGTTTCATGTTTTACTTTCTTGGTACAGAAAAGTTTTATTCCGCAATTAGATCAAGTAAACATGCTAGAATAGAGTTAGTCAAATGTGTAATACAAGAGCGTAAAGTGCAGCATCCATCCAACACCCCAACTCTAAGATTTTGTTTACTCTATGGCTTTTTAGCCTTACCCTACCTGGTCCCACCAACCGATGAGCCAGGGCCTCGAGCATGTCTCACAGAACAGGTCCACTAGGGGGGTCCTGCGTTCAGCTGCTGTCCCACCTCCTTCCATAACACCTCCATCAGCTGCACCAAGGTCCAGCTCTACCCCTGGCCTCCCCTGCAGAGGACTGTAGCTGGAGGAACGGGGCAGCCTGTAGCCCCCTGGTACAGGCGAGGGGCACGGAGATGGCACCGGGTCAATGGCCTCTACCACACCCATGTTGAGAGAACCTGGGGGTTTGGGCCTATGGCACAGGTATGAGGTGCGGTAATGAAGTGGGCCAGAGACACTGCGGGTGCCCCAGTGGCATGAGGGCGTTGTCAGGGTTCGTGGGGAGAGGCCACAGCCAGTCAAACCGGGACACTCCAGTGTGGCGTCTGCCCCAAAATGGGGAATGGGGGAAGGGGTGGCGGGTGGGGGCAGTCTGTTCAGATTTTCCGTGTCTACATCCAGTACTCCAAAGCAGGGCACTCAGTCAGTCCTGAGTCAGGCTCCAGCCACAGTGTGCTCCGGAGATGTAGATCCCACGGATGGGCAGACCATGAGCCCCCCCTGGATCTGGCCGCTGTGAAGACTACATCTTATCCCATTTCCTGAGCAGGCTGACCCAAATCTATAGCCACGGCAGGATAAAAGGTGGATTAGGGGCTGATTGAGTAAGGATGGAGCAAAAAAGAAGGGAGTGCAAGACAGTCTGAAGGACACAGAGAGGAGGTAATGGAGAAGATATGTTTATTTTAGAGAGATGCAAACAAAAGGGAATACTGCAAGAGCCGATTCTAGACTAGCAGCAATTTAAAGAGTTAGAGGGCAGAGATGAGGGAAGAAGAAAAAATGAGGATTGTAATCTTGAATAATGGAGGTGAAGGGAACCTGGACGGCAGAGCATCGAGAAGGAGTATGGTGGAGGGAGGGGGATGGAGATAATAACAAGAGAAAAACAAGAACACAGTGAATGAGACAGGGACAGACTAGAAGAAACAGAGAGGGATGCAAGCAGGCAGGCTTCCAAGACGATCCCAGGGAAGAATTATTCCAAAACTGTGGTCTGAAAAAACAATCTCCTTTTTCTTGTGTCGCCTGCCCCTCCCCAATGGTACAGATCCAAAGGCCCGTCCCAGTCCTACCGGTGCAACAGCCCGTCTGAGTCGCCTCTCTCAAAATCTCAGCTGTACTCTGCCTGTGCACAGGCAATCAGCTTGCCTCTCAATAGCAATGCAACGCAAGACCTCTCCTCCAAGTCAGTCCATGCCTCAGCTGGCCAAAAACACCAGAGGTCTAATCCTGCTGCTTTAGGCTGCCGTTCGTCCTCCAGTGCTCTGTCTCTTTCGCCATTTCCCTGGATGCTGTAGACAGCCCTTGCAAGCTAATCAGGCAGTGGCTGCAGGCGCGTGCGTGTGACTGTGTATGTATCTGCAGCTGCCTCCTTTTAGAGGAGGAGTGCGCATGTGCAACACGACAGCATGTGCGTCTGTCAAATATATGTGTGAGCGAAGGTGTGAGTAAGAGTGAGAGACAGAGAGGCAATATTCATGTATGCACCTCCATGTTGGCATAGTGATGAAGAATTGTGTTGCTCATTTCTGTTTAGGCACTGCATGGTTTTTATAGACACAGTGTCCCTGGAGGCTTTCCATTTTGAACATGTATGGGGAAATCATTTAGTTTCATCCATCTGTTCTTTTCTTCCTCAGTATATGATGGAGTGACGATAATAAAGAAAAAACATCTTATTTGTTGGTATTGACAATGAAGATGAGGATGATTCCTGGGATAAAACAAGGTCTCTGCCGCTGCCTCTTTAAAACTGAGCACTGTTAAAGGAGCATTGCCCCTTTTTCATTGGTTCTCCCATAAACCACATGTCTTGTGGTCAGATTGGCAAGCCAATGACTAAAAGGGAAGGGCAGACCCTGCTGCTGTTAGATAGCAACCAAGGTTAAAGCATAGACATCAGCATCAGGACTGCCCCCCCTTGTCCTCTCCACCCACAGACCGTCACATCCTCACTACCTCTCTGCCCCCCAGCACCTGAAATTACAACTGCATGTATCCTTAAGAGGTCTGTCCATATTCTCGCCTTCATGTGAGTGTACAAACTCAAAATGCAATCATCTGATATCTGGTGCAACATATTTGCACTGTCACTATGCAATTATTGTTTGACACTGCCAATGTAAAATAACATGATTGTCCGTATCTATTAACAAATCATCAAAGTACTGAAAATAACCTTTTTTTTGTCTTTTACTTTCTTGTACTACACTTTGTGCCACTTGTTTTTACAAAAAAATGAGCTGGCCTAGCATGATCTATACAGGGTTAGAAAAACTTTTCCTAAGCAAGTTCATTTGATTATCAAATCTTTATGTGAAAAGTATTATCACATTAAATCAGTGTATATGTTATTATCAGTAGGTTCCCTGGGAAAACTCATATTGCCATCTCTCAGCCAATGAAAATGCTGGAACTCGTCTGAGGTTCTGGTGTCATCAAACCTAATACAGTTTTGTACAAAGAACATAACCTAGTTCTCTTATTCTTAGCAGCCAAAAGAAGCAGAGGTGTCGAACGTATTAACGTTTATTACTCAAGTAGAAATTTTAAAACCCTTTTGTAGAAGTTTGTGGATCAACTTAAGCTTTTTACTCAAGTAAAAGTATAATTTTAAAACTAATTAAGGTATAAAAGTAAAAGTATGCAGGAAAAAATGTTAAGGGCAGATACTGGTTACTGCAATACCCTTTTAAAGGATCATTGTTCTACAAATATGGATGATAAATTCCTAGTTTTATAGCTAATGGTAAAAGTGTCAAATTCAACTTTGCATCCTCTTGAAAATGTATTATTATTTAAATAAAATTTTTTTCTAAATATTAATATTAAATATTAATATTTATTTTAGTATTTAGCAAAGAACAAGGTGGTGTAGTACCGAGTACAACCACAGATAAACTAACTGTCTGGATGAAACAAATTATCTTGATGCTTTTTATTATTTTTATTAACAACAGGCCATGACAAAAATGAGCTTAAATGAAACAAACCTAACAAGTCTATGTTTAAAATATAAGGAGTAGAAAGTAGGTATAATTCCAAAAAATGTAAGGAGTAGAGGTAAAAAGTTTAGAAAATAATCGCTCCAGTAAAGTAAAGAAGAGCCAATATTAAGTAAGGTAAAGAAGTATTTGTACTTTGACACCTCTGAATATGAGTGACCTTCTCAACAGAGGGCAGCACTATTTCATACTGACACCAATTATATAAAGTGTGTAGCACATTTTTAAATTGTTCCCCAAGTAACTGCCCATTTTGACCACATTAAAAAAACTGTTCTGAAAATATCATCCAAAGCCATTGCTGGTGAGCATATTTGTGTTTCAGTAGCTGCCCACCTTATTGGAAGCCATCTCACTGACTGAGCGGTGGGTCTGAATGGTCTCCAACTGGTCCAGACACCAGTCCAGCTCCTCCAGAGTCTCCCGAGCCATCTGCTGGTACGTCTCCTCTGAGAGAGAAATGCAAACAAAATATCAGAAATGATTTAAACCAACATAAGGAGAATAATGAAAAAAAAGCAACGAAACGAATGTTGGGCAGTTATTTTTTTTACATGGAATTCTTACAGTCATTTGGAGTTTACAAACTGAAATCCAAACATATATTTTGCATTATGTGGGCAAACATGTTTTTAAATGCAAACTCTATGCAAACTTAAGTAAAGAAATCTAGCCTTGTTTAAACCTTTAACTTAATGTATTCCTTTTTTATTATACAACTGGAAGTCAGCAATTATTTAAACCTCATATATAACACATATATTTTTAATGTTTCTTTTATATATAGCCATTTTTAAATTACTATAAACAAAAGTTCAATTGAAAAAGAATGGAATAAAGTTGAATTTCAGACTCAGCTCACTGGTCAGTTGGGCTTATTCTAGAAGAGGTGCCTCATGTGATCCCTGAGTGTCCGCAGACCCCACCCAGGTGACCCATTACAGGCCTTTTTTGAATCATTTTAATCTGATTTATGTCTAATCTTTTTCGTAGAGGTTGTTTTTTTTCCATTTTAATATGTGTGTTAAAAAAGAAATGAAACAATCACTCAATTGTTTTAAGACCTACAGTGCAGAGGATGTGCACACTTATCATATGCATATATTTAATATTAAATCTTTATTTTTTTTTGTCCTCTTCCAGGAATGAAGGATAACATAACAAACAGGTTCTATTAATTTAAAGAAGAGTTAGATGCATTAGTTTATGGGCTTTTTTTCTCTAATCTACGCAGACTTAGATATATAGTATACACAGAGAATAAGATCAATTAATTAATTCACTAATATACAACCAAATAAAAAAAAATGTTTGTTCATATCAAATAAATATATAATATTGCTTATATTTTTCGCTACCATAAAAAAAATATTGTTTGTTGGATCAAATAAGGAAAACAAAGGAAACTGAAGATTTTAGAATGAGAATTGTTGGACTTAAAAAATATGCAAATATCTTTTGGAACTACTCTTAAACGCTTTCTGAGTCTAAGGTTTAAGGTTTGAGCAACTGGAAATAACCATGCACCAAATAAACAGGTTATGATTACTGATAACAACTTGGGGGCCAGCTACTGGGACACCAGCATCACTGTTCCATTAGAAGTGTGCATAAAAAGGCGGGGTAAGATGAACAAACTGTTAAAGTTGATAGAATGTTTGCCTAACCTCCAGTTTTGTTGATACATCTGATAAGTTACATGGAAATTATGCATAGTAAAAATACCTCCAAGTTCGTATATTCAGCTCAAATCTAGACTTCAATATTGTGGAATGGTCGTTTAAAGGCACCAACACAAGCCCTATATAAAATTTGGGGATCATACTTCAAATTTGGGTCTGTGCCAGGAAACCTGCAGTGATGCAACTAAAACATTGAAACTGTAAGATGTTCCAACAATTAAATGATACAAACTTAAAACTGATTTGCACTGATCTTGGCCCAGAAGAAAAAGTGTGATCTATGTTAAAATGGCAAAACTGTGACAGCCATCCACCATAAATAAACTACTGATTATTCTATGGAAACTGTTCTGAAATCCAAGCCGCAGTTGATTTTGGTAAAACAAGCAATTGCAAAAAATATTTAAGTAATGTGCTGAACAGCCCTTTAACTATGGAAAGGAACAAATAAAGCAAATCAATAAAAGTTTATAATTAGTAGAAAAATAAATCGTGAAAATGATATAACAAAATCTGACAAACCAGAAAAACTCCTACCTAAAGTGATTTATAGTTGTTAGAAAAAATGTAACGAAACAGATGACAACGAAAAGTAAAAAAAAACAAACAAACTGTGGGTTGTCAGGCAGCATGCTAGATAAACTGTAATTTAAGCAAATTATTTGTAGGAGCTTTTTCATGTCTCTATTTTTGTTGTGCCATCTTGCTTTGCTTTTTATTAATGATTGTTTTTTGAGTATATTATTGATACCTTTTCCCTGTTGCATGCACAGAGAGCAGTGATGATACTGTAGATCACTAAATCTGACAAAGTTTTAATGTTACGTTGATAGCGTTACAGGTAACTTGTAGTGATGTGATTTCTTTTTCTTACCCTACTTAACATACATAAATAAATATCACATTTTATATCTTGTTAATTGAATTTAAAAACATGTCGCTGCATAGCTACATTAGCCAAAAACAAAATTACATGCAGTCATATCTAATATTATGTTTACAGAATAGACCATAGTATACTGAATTTAACAAGTTAAAAAAAACAAAAACAAATGAAAACAAACAAAAGTTTGTTCTTATTTGATCAATACAGAGTTTGGTGTTTTAAAGAAAAACAGACACTTTAAAATATTCACATATTTAATAATAATCATAATAATATTCAGTGACTGCAGACAGTGTTAGGAATCAATCTTATTGTTTTTATTTGTTTGTTCAGTTATTTTTTATTTTTTTTTATGTTTTGGGGGGTAAGTTGGAGCCATTATTAAAAGAAACTATTAATTAGCTGACAGCATACCAGAGAGAGTAGCTTGGGGAACCGTGGGTTGGCTTGTCACTGGTGACCTCCTGTAGATGAACACATAGCAGAGGATAAATAAAACACTGCTGCCTCCGTGTGGCGTAGGAATGCAATACAGTGTGTTCAGCAATACAGTATCAGGCAACAAAAGGCTTAGCACAGACAAAAAATAGTCTATAAGTATTCATTAAATATTTATGAAAAAAAATATAGCTCACTGACTATATCTAAAAAAAATCTAAATCAGTATTAGTACTGAACATCACAGCTTTTATGTGTATTTTTAAAGCTCAACAAAACAATTCAAAGGTAAAGTCTGTCTGGCTTTTATTCTCTCCTAACTGTGTTCTTTTACAGGCTCTTTCATTGTGCAGCGCTGTGTAATAATAGACGCTGATGATTCCGTGCAGCTTTGCTTTATATATCATATTGACGTGGTGCTAAAAGCCTGCCAGCTCGAGCTCCTTCTGTCTACTGCATTACAAGGGAGAATAATTTTAGCATTATTGACCGTCTCCATTGTCTGGGCAAAGAGTCAGGGACATACATCTGAGGCATAAAGCTCTGTGCACTCGGCCCTCAGTCAGCTAACTGGAAAAATGCCAAATGATGCAGATTAAATTTCCCTGAGCATTGTCTGAGACTCATAAACCAGTTAATCATGATGGTTAAAATGTTTCCACATGGGAGTGAGGAAGCAGAAACATTTGCATATGCACATCAACTACAAATTAAGCAGGCAGTCGTGATGAGCACAAGTGTGGGGAAGGGGTGTTTGACAGCATGATACTGACTTGTTAGTGGGTGTTGTGACATTGGCGAGGATGGTGAAGTTGCTTCTTACAGTTCGTAGGCTGGCCAACACCTGGGGGTTGGATGGACAACGTGGGAGGGAAGGAAGGAGCACAATTGAGAGGGGGGGTTAAGTTCACTGTTCTGTTTTTCTGCCTTTTTTTAAAGCAATACTGCAAAAAATAAGCATAGTATATAAAAAACAAGTGAACAAACCTGAGCAAAAGGGGTGACAATCATGTCTTCTGCATGTCTGGTGGAAAAAATAGAGTAGAGAAGATGATCATTGGTGTCACTAAATACATTAATATATCTACAGACAGATAGACAGACAGGCAAACAGACAGAAAGAAAAAATGCACACAAAGAAAGTTTTAATACATTAATGTGTCTCCACTAAAATGACGCTCATGTACGAAAACGTATATGCAGTAAATACTTGGTAAGGGTTTCCTTTTGTATGAATCAATGCAGCATTGCATTAAGGAGAGCAGCCTGTAGCTCTGCTGAGCTGTTGAGGAAGCCCAGGTGGCTTTGAAAGCAACCCTCACACTGCAAAAACAATCAATTTCTTAAATAAAATATATTTATTTGACTATATATTTACCCTCAATTTGAGTAGGTATACAAAATGATTTTCAAATGGACAGAGATATTTTTTACTCCTAAAATAAGATAATTAGATAATATACACTTGAAATAAGACAATGCAATTGTTTTTTTTTCTTATTTCTAACTGTAAATTGTCTTGTTCCATCTGCAAAGTGTTTCACTTATCTTCCAAATTCAACAAAAAATTCACTTTTTTTAAGAAAACATAGCTTATTTAGATTTACATTTTTTGCAGTGCAGGTCTTCCTTTCATTTTCTGGGGTCTGATTTATTTCATTTTTCTTCTTCCCTCCACTGAGGGGATTAAGTCAAATCCCTGCTGTCCACTCAAGCAGAGGGATCCCCTAATCATTAGCGGCTACCTAAACAGCAGACCTCAACCGATTCTGATTTGATTTGCAATATATGCAAAAATATAACTTAGTATATTGAGAAAACAGGAATTTCTAGCACTGAATGACTGCAGGTATTTTCTTCCATAACTGAGCTAAAATGTTTATAGTAGGTACAGAGCCCAGCAAGTGTCAGTGGGTGATAAAAACTACAGCTAATGGAAATCCGAGTCACGGTTTTTTGAACTGCTCACTTTTTTATCTCTGTGCACAGTTTGATAAACTGTGCCCTGCGCTTTGCAATCCTGTTGAGCAGATCAATAAAAGTTTGGCCCACAGGTGCTATAGGGTTAGTAGATCCTTGTCATATATAAACTTAAAGCCATGGCATGTTTTAATCAGCACAATCCACAGCTTGTAACATGACTTTATTCATTTTATGATGAGATAAGAATGTGACAGATGTCATTGACTGCACACTGACTGCAAAACTGAGCTCACAGTTTTGTAAAGCATGAGCCTGTATTTTAACCAGCTATGTTTTTTTTTAACCTGCTGACAGTTGTTTGGCTTTGTAGCCAGGCTTTGTGGTTCAGGGGTAGCTTAATATAAAATAAGTGACAGCTGTTGTAGGCCATGCTTAAACCATGCTCTGGAAATGTACAGGTGCTGGTCATAAAATTAGAATATCATGAAAAAGATTGATTTCAGTAATTCCATTTAAAAAGTGAAACTTGTATATTATATTCATACATTACATACAAACTCATATATTTCAGATGTTTATTTTGTTTCATTTTGATGATTACAAATGACAACAAATGAAAATCTCAAATTCATCATATCAGAAAATTAGAATATTACTGAAGACCAATAAAAACAAAGGATTTATAGAAATGTTGGCCAACTGAAAAGTATGAACATGAAAAGTATGAGCATGTACAGCACTCAGTATTTAGTTGGGCCTCCTTTGGCCTGTATTACTGCAGCAATGCGGCGTGGCATGGAGTCGATCAGTCTGTGGCACTGCTCAGGTGTTATGATAGCCCAGGTTGCTCTAATAGTGGCTTTTAGCTCTTCTGAATTGTTGGGTCTGGTGTATTGCATCTTCTTCTTCACAATACCCCATAGATTTTCTATGGGGTTAAGGTCAGGAGAGTTTGCTGGCCAATTAAGAACAGGGATACCATGGTCCTTCAACCAGGTACTGGTAGCTTTGGCACTGTGTGCAGGTGCCAAGTCCTGTTGGAAAATGAAATCTGCATCTCCAAAAAGTTGGTCAGCTGCAGGAAGCATGAAGTGCTCTAAAACTTCCTGGTATGTGGCTGCGTTGACCCTGGACCTCAGAAAACACAATGGACCAACACCAGCAGATGACATGGCACCCCAAACCATCACTGACTGTGGAAACTTTACACTGGACTTCAAGCAACGTGGATGAAGTGCCTCTCTTCTTTTCCTCCAGACTCTGGGACCTTGATTTCCAAAGGAAATGCAAAATTTACTTTCATCAGAGAACATGACTTTGGACCACTCACCAGCAGTCCAGTCCTGTTTCTCTTTAGCCCAGGCAAGACGCTTCTGACGCTGTCTGTGGTTCAAGAGTGGCTTGACACAAGGAATGCGACAGCAGAAACCCATGTCTTTCATACGTCTGTGTGTGGTGGTTCTTGAAGCACTCACTCCAGCTGCAGTCCACTCTTTGTGAATCTCCCCCACATTTTTGAATGGATTTTGTTTCACAATCCTCTCCAGGGTGCGGTTATCTCTCTTGCTTGTACACTTTTTTCGACCACATCTTTTCCTTCCCTTCGCCTCTCTATTAATGTGCTTGGACACTGAGCTCTGTGAACAGCCAGCCTCTTTAGCGATGACCTTTTGTGTCTTGCCCTCCTTGTGCAAGGTGTCGATGGTCGTCTTTTGGACAACTGTCAAGTCAGCAGTCTTCCCCATGATTGTGTAGCCTATAGAACTAGACTGAAAGACCATTTAAAGGCTTTTGCAGGTGGTTTGAGTTAATTAGCTGATTAGAGTGTGGCACCAGGGGCCATCAATTTTGAACCTTTTCACAATATTCTAATTTTCTGATATGATGAATTTGAGATTTTCATTTGTTGTCATTTGTAATCATCAAAATTAAACAAAATAAACATCTGAAATATATGAGTTTGTATGTAATGTATGAATATAATATACAAGTTTCACTTTTTAAATGGAATTACTGAAATCAATCTACTTTTTCATGATATTCTAATTTTATGACCAGCACCTGTATGTAGTTGTTATTGAAGTTTCTGGATTTAGCTGCAGTCGACCCCGTGAACCTCTACTAAACTCTTTAATAAACTTTGCTTTAAAATCCTTGCTGCTGTGCATCCTTTGTTACCAAACTTTTTCCTTCTGCTTAAGTTGCGATTAATTATCATATTTATTTGTCCAGTGAAATTTGTCCTCTGCATTTAATCCACCCCTTAGGAAGCAGTGGGCTTCCCCCTCATAAAATAGACACAGTCCTCTGTGAATAGCCCACTTCTTTAGCAATGATCATTTGCAGTTAAGTCTCCTTTAGGAGGATGTCCATAAATCTCTGCTGGATAACTGCCAAGTCCGCAATCTTCCCTGCAATTGTGTCAGCCATGAGATAACAATTCATCATTATAGCTCACTTTCTTTGTTGGTCTTGAATGAACTTCTAATTAGTTTAAAAAAATGAATCATGGGTTATTAGTAGCTGTAAGTCTTTTTGAAATATATCTCTCCGTGTGTAATGAATGAATACTGTGATTTTTTTCAACTACATTTCTGAAATATGTCTTTTTGATGATATTTTTGCATTGATATTTTGTATTGCAGTACTGGATCTGTGGATACATTTTGGACCTCAAAATTTTAAGCCCTCACCCTGATTTAGGCAAAAAAAAAAAAAAAAGATTTTTGTTACTGGTTAAGATAAAGCTCTAATAATTATAACAGTTAATGTGCTGTTTAGGCCAGCAAGTATTGACTATTCTAATAATCGATTAATCTGTTGATTCATTTTTTGATTAATCATTTTTGACTTCCTTAAAGGAGTCTTACACAGAAACCAAGTGAAGCTAAAACTGTGCCCTTTGATATTTTTGGATCGAGCTTATTAATGGACAAAAAAAACGGTTTTCAGCTTCAGTGCAAAATGTGTAGATATTTTTTTTACAATTTTGCTATAATAACTGCTTTGATTGGCTTGCCCTTTCAGCTAAAGGTATCTTTTATAGTCTAAACTTAAATTAAGGTTAATCAGTTGCAATTTTAGTTGACAATTATTTCAATAATTAGTTAATCAGGATTAATCTGATTAATTGTCTCAGCCGTAGTGTTGTTTGGGATCATGTCAAACTATAGTCTGTACGTTTATATAAGTGTGTGAATTTTTTACTCTGGACTGGTTTTGATCTTACCCCTCACTGTTGATGGAGGAGTTGCGGGACATGGTTTTGGGAGATGTGTCATAGTCTGAGTCCGAGCGGTACAGGAAGGACTCTCTTCTCTGACTTTGAGGAAAGGAAGGATGGAGCACCAACCCAGGACTCGCCTGCGAATCCATGGGACTTCGTCCTGGTGAGGGGCCATTTTCTGAATCGAAGCTGAAGGAATAGAAAAGATAAAAAGGACAATTGGTTTTACCTCTGATATACATACAAAATAACATTTGACTATTTCTTGTTATTTCCCAGTAACCATAGAAAGTATTTAGGGAATCCTAAATGCCCAAACAGCGCAGCCTGCTGTTTATTATTTTCTTAGAGAGAATATTGCAGACAGAAGATGAGACCTGAGATATCACTGCAAGTCTGCACTAACATGGTATTGGCAGATTGCCACGGGGCTGCTCTGACAATTACACTTTGCTGACAAGTCATTTTTCAGTAGGAATCACATTAGTCAGCAAACTTTGCAATAATAACTGCCATTTCTCTGTAGCTAAACCTGTTTCTTGGAGGATGTGAATGATTGCACGCTTGATGAGGGCTGAGATCTTTTTTTACAGCCCAAAGGTCTTAGATAAACGATTGACTGATTGAGAATACTCGCACATCCTGTATTTAAGGTTCCCTGTGGACTTTTGACCTGCAGTTAAACTACGAATCTGTCTTCTGCTCCTGTGTACGCCTTAGTAGGCCCACTTTAATGCACTAAAGGTGAACTGGAATCCTACCAATAGTATATTAAGAGCTCCAGATTGAATTGCTTCATTTTATAAAATATTCTATAGGGCATTTTAAAAAAAAGGAAAAGCATCAGCTTCAGAAAGTAAGAGACATTTAGAGCTTTTAAAGCCAGTTCTTTCTTTCTCTTCTAGTTTAGGAGCAAAAGCTAGAAGAAATCTGCAGTATTTATTCACAGTCAAGCTCATATATAAATGAGGAACTCCACATTTTTTTAATTACACGTCTCATTTACCCTGAAACCAGGCCTCATCAAACCCCTCAGACCATATCTTCTCTCAGAAATTAAAAGCGATGGGTCTTATGTGCTGTGCTGTTCACTAAACTGCACAGCACATAAAAAAATGATTTATCCATAAAAAAAAAGAAATATCACATTTTGAATAAAAAAAAAAAAAGTTTGATATTCAACTTTATTTTGTTAAAAGGTCGATGTGTTGCTGGCTTGTATAAGACTGTAACTTATCTGTTAAACTCACATCAACTTTAGACCTTATAAAAGCAACAAAAAAATGGCCTTGGGCGCCTTTCAGTTATATTTGTAAAACTCAGCCTATTTCTTAAGAATTCATACTTATAAATAGGCCATTTAGGAGCCACTCCTTCCCCCAACAGGGCTCTGTAAACATAACAGATCAAGTTATCATGAAACAAGTTTTCCCTGTAATGAAAAACACATCAAAAGTGTCTGCCAGGGGGAAGCTCTTTAAACTACAAGTGCTAATCCCCCCCCTTTTTTTTTTTTTCATCTCAAGTCTGTGAATAATATCAGACTTTAGTGCTCATATTTCAGATTCCAGTCTAAAATATTCACATTACACTGATGTGTGCTTCACTCCAAGTCAAATAAAAGTATGAAGATCACAGCACCCACTTTTATATAAAAAATAGGCCACATTAAATATTAGCGCCTTTGGTGCACAGCTGTACCTGTAGAGACAATGAGACGAGCGTCTGCGCTCCTCAATGCTGCGGTTCAGCTTCAAGCGCCGGAAGAGAGAAGACCCCCCGTGTCCACGTGACTGATCATCTGGTGACAAGGGTGAGGTGAGAACTTGGGGGGCATGAGGGGGCCCCTCTGGATTCTCCCACAGCCGCAGCTGCCGCGTCAGCTTCCTCTGACTCATTTCTGCCAGTTCTGTGGCCCTGCAGGGGCTGACCATCTAAAGAAAACTCCCCCAACCCTCCACTTACAATGGGCTATCTCACTCCCAGTGTGGCTGCCTGTCTCCCACGCATCCACTTTCTTACTGCGCACACGCGTAGCAGGCAGATATGACTGCAGCACCAGTTGTATGTGCTGCAAACTGTCCTCGATCCACAAAAAGATTCAGCCAAGCTTCCCTCAGTCCTGCTCTTCCATGCATGTCATATTGGCAGAGGCAAAGTTCAGAAACATGCATATCCCTTCTCTGTGATCCTCAGGCCCTTTAAACTCGCTTAAACTCTGAGTCCTTCGTCCCACATCGCCACTGTGCTCTCAGTTTCTCTTAACCATTTCTTTTAGATGTTATTTAAGGTCCCACAGGAGAGAACTTCTGATATTTCACCATCAACTCAGAGTGATCCTGCTGAAACCCTCATCCAGTCCTATGTAGTTTTCCTCCTCGAAACTCCCAAGACGCCTGTGTTCCAAAAACAACCAGTAATTATCCGTTCATTTTCTGAACAAGCCAGCCTTTTGCCCTCTTCTCTGTTTTAGTTTCTCTCCTCCCCCAGTCGTCCTATCACAAAGCATGTGCTCTCACTATGCTTATCTCATAGCTGACAGTTCCTCTGCAGCAACAGGAAGGCTGATCAGTGAAAGAAACAGACCACAGGCGCAAGAACAGAGAAGCATGCAGAGGCTGGGTAATCAGGATTTGAAGTGAATATACAAACAACCAAAGAGGAGATGGAAAAAAAATCAGGGGGAAAACGGGTTGAGTCATACCCCTGTGTAAATGTTTACATGCTCCACTAAAGAGTGTGCAAGGTTTGTCCCCAAAACATTATTTTTTATTTTTTTTGTATTTTGACATCAACAACCTTGCTCACCAACAGCTTTTTATTTGGCCTTTAGATGAGAACATGCACTAGGTCTCTTTACTGTTATTTTTGCAGCATTTAGATCTTCAAATAGGACTTAAAGATTGTGCATTGGATCAAATAAGGCACTGATGACATGAATAAAAGTCTCAAGCAGGAATTAAAAGTGTTAACTCCCTCTTAGATGTCTTCTGCTTTTGTTTTGTTTGTTGTGTTTCTTTTTGGGGGGGCAATGTTTCAGGTTAATTTGAACTATTTTTAATTTAAGTCAAAGATAAAATAAATAAATGGATAATAAAGTTTTTAAATAACTTCATCTATTCTGCAGAAGAATATATTTTTTTAAAAATCTGCCTCAGTGTAACAGAATGATGAATCCAACAGCTGGATGAGCTAACTTCCTTATTGCATCAACAGGTAAACGTTTGACATCATTGTGGAGAAGTTTTGCTCCACTCTCCTGCTGATTTGCTTTAAATCAGCCATGACCTTTGGGATGTTAAACACAAATAACCTGTTTAATGTCAAAACAAACCTTTTCAGACTTTCACCTGCTCATTTATTTTGGAGCATTTTTTCTCTTTCTCTTTATGACATTTGACATCACAAAATGGCCAGACAGTGTTTCTTAAAGAACAGAATTCACGATTCTAAAAATTATGGCATTTTGATCAGTTCTTTGAAAAATAAATCAGCCCCAGACCATCACACCACCACAGTGCTTCACTCTCAGCAGCCTGAGGATCTTTTTTTTCTGAAAAGCTGTAGTCTTACACCCAATGTAACAGGATATGCAACCTTTCATAATTCCCCAAATGTCCCAGGGGTTATTATAATTTGTATTACTAAATGTTGTATTACTGTTGTATTACTAAATCATGAACATTGATTTTGACCCCTCCCAATGAGGCTTGAAATATTGCTCCGGGTTCTTTTTTAACCTCCTGGATGAACCGTGGATGCACTCTTGGTATAACGTTAGCAGTCTAGGGTTATGTTGTTTTAAATAGGGGCATGACGTGTTGTTTTTGGAGAGTTTTTCAGCCAACTTCATGTTGTCAAACCAGTTCAAAGGCTTAAGTGAGTTCTTTATTCTTCCAGGTGGTAATCAGGACTGCTTGTGGTTAAGAAAACTAATCAATAGAAATTTTTTAAAGTTGGTTAATGATATTTTCACATACGGTTTAGTTAGTTAGAATAGTGTTTTTAAGGAAGGTTTTTTTACTCATTCATTAAACAAAATCATGATCTGAAAATAGTTTTCTTTTTGTTGTTTTTATTGCGATGATATTTGTCTATCTGTCCGCTATCCAGTTTGCCAGATGATTTAAAACATTGCACTTTGACAGATTACTTTTTTCTTTTTTACAGCACTGTATATTGCTTTCCAAAAAGCAATAAAGTATATATAAAAAAGGTACAGCTACTTGACCACTGAGCATGTGAAGTTTACCAGCTTTTCCCTTTCTGTAAGGCCTCTTGAGGTGTAATTTATTGCTTTCATAAATGCGGGCATTGTAACATCTGCAGCAACCCGATTAACCCATGAAGCAACTGGTGTGGCATTAAAAAAAAAAAACAGTGAGAGAAAGATGAACAAAGACTGAGTAGGTTTTGTAAGAAGGCCTCAGAAATATTGGGTAAGTTTACTGTAGAAATGACTCATACTCCAGCACATAGTGATTACTTTATGGAAATTAAACTGCATTATTTGAAGATGCAGATCAATTCCATAAATCTCCACACAGCCTTAGAAGTAAGGGGTATTCCAAAAGATCTCAGATTAGTTTCAGATAGAAGTCGATTTAAATCCTTACCAGTACAGTCCTGAATTCCTGACCATCAGGGTGGAAAAATACATCAAAACATCATTTTATCTGTTTGTGGTTGCAAGCCTAAACCTTTACCTTGTGTATAGAATACAGATTAGACATTTCAAAGTGTCTGTGTCAGATAGTTTTCTCTATTCCTCCATAGCTCTGCACATCTTTATACGGCACACAAACCAGATGTGAGAACAAATCAGATATTTTGGGAGAATTGTCTGTTTTTTTTTTTTTTGCATTCTTTTTTTTTTCACCAAAAAAAAAAAAGTACTGCAGGAAATTCTACCCCTCAGCAAGCAGCTTGAAGCATGAGCACAGTAAGAAACACGGTGAAGATAAGATGCCTTGTCAAGCTTTTCCTTCTCTCCTCCTGCCTTGCACATTTAGGACTTTACCCTCTCTCTTGAGTCTTTTTTTCTCTTAGCAGGGGTAACTACCATTTACTTATATGACACATTGGGGATGGATGATGTGGCTTGTCTTGGAAAGTTACACATAAAACGGGCCTTGCACAAATTTTGATTTAACAATGTTTTTCAATGACAGACCAAAAAATGTCAAGAA